AACAAAAGTTCAAATTTATTATTATTTATATTTCCCTTAGGTTTTTAGTGGAACCTAAGGCTTCAGCTACACGCCTCCATTCTACTCTGTTCTCTCCAGTCTTCTAAACCTCGCTCCATGACTGCCTATCCACAAGCTTTCATTTCTTCCTCACATGATCTCCTCTATGTCACCCTCGCCTAGGACGCTCAACTCGCTGTTTCCCCTTTGGATTCCACTCGACGACCTGGTCTAGCCTGACGTGTGATGTCCCCAAACAGTCTTCTCAGTGTATGTCCAATCCAATGCATTTCCACTTTCTTGTGCACGTTTGTTGGGCAATAACCTTTTGGTTGGTTCTTTGCCAGAGTGAGTTCCTTATTGCTTATTCTTTCTAGCTATCTGATCTGATCCTCAGTATCGACTGAGCGTAAGTGGCAGGTGTTGATGAATGTCTGCAATTTTTTGGAAATGATTTTCGTGACACGCCAAGTCTCTGAACCATATAGGAGCACTGACTTGACTGAATTGGTGTTGAAAATCCCGATCTTGTTCTTTGTGCTGAGTGCAGTGCAGTAGATCTCCACACTGGTTTCAGATTAATGAAAGCATGGTTTTGACATCCTCGTATGTGCCGTTGCATGTAGTTGAAATGATGCTGCCTTGCGTAGGTAGGTGTAGGTGAAAGAGACTACTTCATTTAAGTTTCTCCCGTTCATGGTGATTGGAGCTTGTTGTTATTGTTGGTGGTGTTGATTGGATATCTTCATCACCTACATCTTCTCTACATTCACTTGAAGTCCCGTTTTCGCTGCCCTACATCTTCTGTCAACTTGTTTGTTTTCGCCTGTAGAAAGAATTCAAATGCCTTTCCATAAACGCATTTATCAGTACTATCAGTGGTGTACCACTAGCTTCCCCAAAAGCCTTCAACAGGCTATGAAATGCAGCGCAGTCTTTTTTCCTGAGTTCAGAAAAGAATTGGGAGGACAATAAGTACAGGCAAAACATAGGAATTGACGAAAAGTAGGAGTAAGAACTGAGTTATATCAAACAGTCTGGGTTTCCTTATATAAAAGGTCACGCAAAAGATTTCTCCTTGAAATCAGTGAAATAAGAGGGAACCAATAAAGATCAGAAGAAAAGCATAAGCCATGATGGATCACAGTTGATACATCGTCTACTACGGAGCCATCAATAAGATAAGATTCATAGAACTGAGGCAGTTCGCATAGGTCTTGTTCACATTTTAAGCTGAAACCAACCATCTGACACTTGAAGGGATTGAGTGTGAGGTCATTTATAGAAGACCAGTGACCAATTTCGGTTAAATATTCAGTAAACTGAGACATATTCTGAAGAGGAGATGATGGGATTATGTTAGGTCACCTGTACACTTGATAAAGTTAGTCTCATAAGAGTTCAGTTTTAGTTGAATTAGACAAGTCATGCAAAAAGAACGAAAGGGAGAAGAAGGAAAGAAAAGCACCTTGAAGAACACCAGCATCATTTAGTGGTGAAGTAGAGCGCTTCCCTCTGTATAAGGTGTTTGGCCTTCTTTCGGAAAAATAAGAGGGAAGCCAGTTAAAAATTAGGGACTCAATATGAACTCTGATAAACTTGTTCAATAAAAGGGATCTAGGGACAGAATCAAGGACAGAAGTGTAATCTGAAAAGGCAGATCTAACATAATTAGTGTCTGTTCAGATTGGCGGCAAAAATTATGATGTAAAACAAATGTAGCATCGAAATTACTCCTTCTAGGTTTGTAGGTAAATTCATTTAGATCTCTGAAAGCCTGTAGTGGAGATACAGTCGCGCGATGCATAAGTTTTCCTATTGCTTCTAGAAATGGTGAAGTAATTACGATTATTTCGAAATTCACCCTTCCTCCAGAAGATCTGGACTTGGGTACTGGAATTATTTTAATTTCCCTCCAGATGATTTAGTGCACCGATGGTTTCGCAGGCTCCATTACTCAATTTCCTTTTTCCAGCAACCTTTTTTTAAAAAGTCTTCATGAACTAGAAAAGATTTTACACGATATGATTATCTGGTTATACTTTACGATCAGCGTTTTATTTCATACTTGAAACAACTGAAAACATCAATTTTATTGAAGACAAGATTACAACCATCTATTTGGCTGGAAACATCAGATATGATGAAGTTCGATTGCTGAGATGAGGATGGGCTCCTCCATTTATCTGTTTTCGACCAGGAAGTCCGTTCAATAACTTTCATATGTTGGAGGAGTATTTTCATGACATACGTTTCTGGTTATGTTATATATTTAATTATTTCTTTCAAAACTATGCCAGAGTCTTCATTCACATTACAATCTTTCCACTTCTTTTCTGAGCTTTTGAAATGTAGAGGTGAAAACCTTTCAAATCTCATGAAGATTGTTTCGGCAGGGTAGATATATCTATTCTGAACTAAGACTTCACTAACCAGTCAGTTTCTTGCGGCGCATATCTCAGACGTAACACATCATCGTAAAAGTAGAAAGGTATGCATATCTCCTCTTGTATAAACTTCTATACACCATAGGTAATACATGTGTGGCAGATTAATGAGAATTGAGTAGAACACTAAACTTGGTGTGGTATCAAACGAGTTAAAAATGTAGCGAGATTCTTGTTATCAGTTATATGAATCAAATCCCTACAGACTGTAGGCAGAAAGTTATCCAATGTAGGAGTAGGGAATCCAGTGAAATCAAAGGTAAAAAGAGATAAATCAACGAAATTATAGCCGTGGGTGATATAGGTGTTACGTTAACATGTTAGTATTTACTTAGACGATTACAGTGATATTGAGTAGTATATGCAGTTAAGATTGCCACTGGATTAACTCAAGTGTGCAAAATGAGAAAAAAATGAGGTGGTACTGAGTTGAGAGGACCATCTCTTGTGAAACAGGTACTTGCGGTTTCGCATTATTGGATCAAATTACTCGACCTCTGTCGGAACTTGTTTCAGCAAAGACCTAGTGTTCACGCTCGTCACGTGATCTACTTTTGCACTCTTTAAAGCCTTTTGTCATTTATCATGAGGTTATCTAGCGACAAACAGAAAAAGCTTTTAAAATGCATGAGAGTATACATTTAACTAGTTTAAAAAACATTATGATTATATTTCCCTTGGGTTCCTAGTGGAACATAGTGGTTCAGTTGCACGTCACCATTCCACAATGTTCACTCCAGTATTCTAAACCACGCTCCACGACTGACTGCCCAGAAGGCTTCATTTCTTCCTCACACGATCTCCTCCATGTCACACTCGCCTCGAATGGCCAACTCATCCTTTCCCATTTGGCTCCTACTCGACAGCCTGGCCTGGCCTCACACATGATGTCCTCGAATGGTCTTCTCAGTGTATGTCCAATCCGATCCATCTCCACTTCCTTCTGCATATTTGTTTGACGACAGGTTGTTGGTTGGTTCGTTGCCAACCAGACTTCCTCCTTCCTAATTCTTATTATTCTGGCCATCTGATCTGATCTTCACTATCTAGTGAGTGTATGCGTCATCTGTTACTGCATGTTTTTAGTTTGTTGGAAATGCTTTTCGTAACGTGTCAAGTCTCACAAGCGTCACATGGAGGGATTGACTTGATTGAGTTGGTGTCAGAAATCTGGATCTTTTTGTCGCTTTATGCTGAGTGCAGTGCAGTGCAGTGGAGTGGAGTGTATCTTCACATTGATTTCAGATTGATGCAGGAAGGTCTGTCTTGCTGTCTTTCGGATCCCGCCCTTGAAATCTGCATCTGTACCGTCGCCTATAGTTGAATCGATGCCACCTAGGTAGGGAGGCAGATGGAAGAGACAACTTGCTTTCCATTTCTCCCGTTAATGGTGATTGCTACTTGTTGTTGTTGGTTAATTATATTCATCATCTGTGTCTTCTCTATGTTCACCTGAAGGAAGTCTCATCTTCGCTGCCTCACCTCACCTCTTCTGCCAACTTGTTACTTTTCGCCTGTACATCTTCAAGTTTGTGCGACATAGAACATCAGACATAAATCATCATCAGCAAAATCGAAATCTTCTTGGTTCTTTCATAGATCAAACAGCGTATGTCCATCTTCCCACAGCTTCTCACAGTTTCTTCAACATCTAGGTGAATCGAGTAGAGTCGACTACAATCGGTGATAATAGGTGGCAACCTTGTCTCACCTGTCAACCTGTCTTCACTTTAAAGGCATCATTGAGCTTTTCATTATGAATAACTCGGCATATAGGATTTTCATATGAAGATGTTTGGTAGCTGAAGTTCCAAGCAGACCCCGCTTATAAACCGAACCTAATTATTCTTTTATGATGTGTATCGCACAGTGAAACAGTATCTCCTACTGGATGATATTTTGAGTACAATTTACAACTCATTACCATGGCATGGTGGACAACAAATTATGCTCAAAACACCATCTCCTAAATAATATTTTTTCATCTATGACATATGTTATAAGAGAACTGTAATGGAATTCTACCGTGATACAGTACTAAAACTCTACTCTTATAGAATATCGTTTACAAAAAAAAGAAGGAAAAATCAGACTATTAATAAAATTTTTTATTGTCTGGAAATATAAACATTATTTATATACAATAAGAAGTACTGAGTTGGTAATGTGAAAAGAAGGGAATAAGTCTTGAAAACTAAGCGTATATATTTCGCAGTTTGTACGATTTATCAGTTGATCAGAGGTAATACAGAGAATTTCAATGAGAAATGGTCTCTGTAATCCACCATTTAAAAATACACCAGTTTACTTACATATCCAAGGTTATATATTGTATAACGGATATGTAAATGAGTATACAAATTATATTAATATGCATTTCATCATCCTTTATCGTACACATACACAGACAATTAGTCAATTGTTACGAACAGAGTATATAGTGTCAGGCTATGTATGAACAAATGAAGCATGTGTATCACCAAGAAGTATCCATTAAAAGATTTTTGGAAAAGTGACCAATATCGTTGTTTTAATTGATATTTAGAACAGAGTTCAGTTTCCTGAACACTCTTCTATATCTGATGAATTTTTGTAGTTTGTAATAACTTCTTCATTAACATTATTAATCATTACTTCATCTTTTTCATGTACATTTGCATTGATTCCTTCATTAAATTTTGACCAATGACATTCAAAGTATGCTCGCATTATATGCCCAGCACGTCCAACATCTGAATCATCTTCATTAAAAACTTCACAATTGGAAAACATTAAACGTACATCTTGTACCCAATTGTTGAATGAACTATAAGCTCTAAAATAAGAAAAACAAGGTAACCTGGTTAGTAATTTCTTCCATATGGATCTCAGTGCAATCACATATCGATGGCCTACTATATACTCAAACTATGTGACCTAATGTAACTTGAAAGAGACATTACTACCCAACAATTTGAGTAGTTGTATACCATTTAAGTTAATCTGCAAATTTCACTGGCCAAATGTTGGATAGATGCTTCTGTCATTTGGAGCGAAGTTCATCAGTGTTGTACTCGAACAAATTCAGGTCATATAGCCAAATTAGTTCAAATCACATGAGATCTATAGATTAGACTATGGTTTCTAACTACTCAAGTTGTTTAGTAGTAGTAAACTTTACTAGTTTATGACACTTTTGTATCAGAGATCATACCTTGGGATTTTGACTAAATCGTTTCCAGCAGAAAGTTGATGGAGATCAGAGTTGAGTAGTTGAAAAAAACCTAATGAGCTGTGAGAAATGTCATCATGAATCATTTGAAAATTCATCATTCTTCAATGATGAATCAAGTATTCCCCTTATTGATTATAAAGACAAATACATACTTGAAGTATGATTTACTTACCCAGCATCTTGTACTTTCCTTCGTATTGTTGATAAGTCAATAGGATGTTTTATTATTTTTCGATAAATTGGTACTTGTTTATGATTTACAGGTTTGCGAAATGCCCAAGAAGATTCATGATTATATAAATCCTCAGTTGCTCGTCTATCAAAAAAGAAAAATGAAAAAGCACCTAGACTGATAACTAAGGCATGATAGGGATCTACTTTAAGAAATAGTAACACTTATCAGGAAATTGAAGATAACAATTATTCTTAAATATAAAAGAGAAAAGTATTCACGAACTGAATAACTTTTATAGTAATGATGGATAGTGGTTAGCAGAGAAATCCAGGACGCGTATTTCGTCCTATTTAGGACTCATCAGCTGTATGTACTGATGTACTTTTAACATGCCCTTAAAATTTAACAATGACATATACAAACAGATAAATGGCATGACAATGGGATCACCTGTAGGAAGTCTCCTAGTTGACTACTTTATAGCAAGCCTGAAAGATACAACGTTATCGAAAACCTGCTTCATATCTTCAGTATGGCTCATCTCCTTATCAAAAAATTCATTCAAGAAGAAGAGTCGAACTAGAAATTCCATTTCCTTGACATCCAACTTCAAAAAAAGATAATAGTTCGGTTCGGAGATGAGTTAACACAAAGCCTACTTAGAGCTGCCAGTTTATTAATTTTTATGGCCGTGTACCCATAGGCAGAAAGTGGAATCTTGTCAATTCACTATCCTTAAGAATATGCAGGGAGGTTACCATCTATGATGAACTAGAAAACTTGCAAAAAAAAATTCTGGTTATAAATTAATACTAGCTGACATTTATAGATAAGAATTTAAAGTCAAGAAACGTCACAGAAAGCTTGCTTACTGCTCCGTACAACATTTCACTGATGAACCTCGAATTCAAAGGAGATAATGTGACAGATATATTTGGAAAAAGACTATCAGGGCGAATAAAGAGAACACTCTTTGTCGTCAATCTTAGAATCATATTCTTTTTTCAGAAACTCTTTTGTCAGCACGCGAAGGATGAGTCAAGGCATTGGGTTACATCAATATGTGTATATTAGTGTACTTGCTCCTGTGCACCCGGGAATACTATTTAACTAGACTGACGAGGGGAGAGTGGAAATGCATCCTCAGCTGTGTAAAACAACACTTGGAAAACCCAGGACTTTGGTTCCTCTTGATAAGTTCTTCAAAGTTCTGTGGAGATGTATTGCACTGGGCATGCACTGAGAAGGCCAACTGGAGACATCACGCGACAGACCAGGCTAGGTCGTTGAGTAGAACCCAGATGGGAAACAATGAGTTGGGCGTTGTAATTGAGGGTGATATGGAGTAGATGGTGTGAGGAAGAAATGAGAGTTTGTGGGCATTGGTGGAGCGAGGTTGAAAAGACTGTAGAGAAGAGAGTGGAATGGAGGTGTGCTACTGAAGCTGTATGTTTCACAAGGAACCCAAGGGACAAATAATAATAATATTGCCTGATGTTCAAATATTCATCCTTCCAAACTAGTAATGTATTCTTTCTCACCGTCGATGACGCACAACCCCACTGTACTTTTCATCTTACTCGCATAAACGAAGAAAGCCTCTCTAACCGAGTTGCTTATTCACTCATTTGTATTACATCGATTTTTGCTCCATATCATAATGTAATTTGATGATTGTAAAGGTCAGCATGTTGCTTACCAAAATTTGAATATTAACCCTGAAATGTCCTAATATCTCAGATTCATACTCTTGATGAAAGGGATCCTTCTAGTAAGATCGAAACATTCAGGAATAATACAAAATATGTTTATTTTATTATTTATTCTAATATATTAGGCTGCGTTAACACAAGTAAAAATATACCTTATACAATGAAAATATGTAATAGGTGCTAAAAACTTGTTTACTTTCCAATACATTTATAAAGTTTACAGTGAAGTTAAATTGATGAAAAGTATATTATTATTAGTCCCTTGGGTTCCTAGTGGAACATAGGGCTTCAGTAGCACGTCCCCAGTGTGCTCTGTTCTCTGAAATCTTTTGGACCTGGCTCCACGACAGCCCACAAGCTCTCATTTCCTCCTCGCACGACCTCCTCCATGTCACCCTCGGACGTCCAACTCGTCTCTTCCCATGGGGATTCCATTCGAGGGCCTGACGCATGATGTCCGCAGTCGGCCTTCTCAGTGTATGCGCAATCCATCCCCACTTCCTTTCAGTGCATATTTGTTGCGTAATAGGTTGTTGGTTGGTTCGTTCCCAGAGCTCCTTGTTGCTTATTGTTTCTGGCCATCTGATCTTCAGTAGCCAGCGTGAGCAGTTGTTGATGAATGTCCGTAGTTTGTAAGAAATCCCTTTCGTAACGCACCAAGTCTCTCAACCATACAGAAGCACTGACTTGACGTTGGTGTTGGAAATCAGGATCTTGTTCTTTATGCTGAGTGCAGAAGATCTCCACACTGCTTTCGGGCTGATGAACGCCTGTCTTGCTTTTCCGATTCTGACTTTGACATCCTCGTCTGTGCCGCCTGTAGTTGAAACAGTGCTGTCTAGATAGGTGAAGGAGGCTACTTCCTTTCAGTTCCTCCTGTTGATGGTGATTGGAGTTTGTTGTTGTTGTTGTTGATAGTTGGGTATCTTCATCACTTCTGTCTTCTTTATATTCACTTGAAGTCCCGTCTTCTCTGCCCTGCCCTGCCCTGCCTCTTCTGTCAACTTGTTAGTTTTTGCCTGTACATCTTCAAGTTTATGTGACATCAGGCACAAGTCATCACTGGCGAAATCCAAGTCTTCTAGGTTCTTTTCCGCAGTCCAGTGTATCCCCCTCTTCTCGCTGCCTACTGTTTACTGCATGATCCAGTCGACCACAATCAGGAATATCATTGGTGATAGTAGACAACCTTGTTTCATTCCTGTCTTCACTTCACTTCAAAGGCATCACTGAGCTTCCCATTGTGAATTACGTGGCATGTGACATCTTCATATAGCTGTTGAATGAGACGGATAAAGGTTTGCGGTAGACCGTAGTAATGAAGCAGTTTCCAAATTACCTCTTGGTCGACGCTGTCAAAGGCCTTCTCAAAGTCGATAAAGTTGAGGTAGAGAGCTGATTGCCATTCTATGCTCTGTTCTATGATGATGCGTAGTGTAGCGTTGCAATTTGGTCTGTACATGATTTGTACTTCCTGAAGCCTGCCTGTTCCGGTCGCAGTTTTGAATCCAGTGCATCCTTAAGCCTCTCCGTGATGATGCGGCTTAATATTTTGCTTGCATTGGGTGGGCAGGAGAGTGATTCAGCACCAGTTCTTGCAAACACTGAGGTCTCCCTTCTTCGGTAGTTTGACAAGGTAACCCTTCTTCCAATCAATGACCAGGTACCTTCTCTTCCTTCCACACCTTCTGCAGTAGTGGTGAGAGCATCTCTGCTGTTGTCTCTGCGTCTGCTCTCAGTGCTTCTGGCGGGATCCCATCTGGTCCTGCTGCTTTCCCACATTTCAGTAGCTTTATGGCGTTCAGGACTTCCATTTTTGTTGGAGGATTTATGTTCACTTGTAGTTCAGCGGCTGCAGGTGGTGGTCGGTTCAAGAGCTTCTTGAAGTGGTCAGCCCATTGTTTCCTTTGTTTCTCTTCTTTCGTAATTAAATTTCCTTCATCATCTTTTATTAGTTTCATCTGCACTGTGTTGATCTCTTCCCAGATAGTAACCTGGTTATTTGATACAATGTCGTCAGGTCTCTCTTACCTGCAGCCTGTCCTGCTTCACTTACCAGTGTTTCGTAGAAGTGTCTTTTGTCTTTAGGTGCACTCTTCTTCACTTCTTTGTCCAGTGTAGTGTTTTGTAAATTGTGCTCAGTTCCTTTTGTCATTGAGAAACCTTGCACTGGTTTATCTTCTGCTTCACCATCCTCCTCTCCCTGCTCTATCAGCTTCCAGGTATCCGTCGAGATCCATTCCTTGTCTTCTTTCTTCTTCCTTCCTAATACGGTTGTGCAGGTTTCTTTCCACATAGCTTTCAAAGACTTCCAGTGTTCTTCCACACAGGTTTCTTCAAGGATGTTCCTCGATATCTCCCATTTTGTCTTTATGGCTGACGTGAAGATCTCCTTTGTAGTTTCGTCCTTCAGTTTGTGTTCTGGGTGTTGTACTTGAATTGAGGTCTATCACCAGCTTCCTTGAAGGCTTTCAACTTGATTTGGAAGGTTCCTTGCACTAGGTAGTGATGTGAACCTACATCTGCTCCTCTTCTTGACCTTGTATCAAGTAGACTGCGTCTCCATTTTCTTGAGGTTGAGATAAAGTCGATTTGTTTTTTAGTGTGTCCCTGGTGTCTGGTGAAATCCATGTCACTCGCTTTGTGGACATCCTTGTGCTTGAACACAGTGCCTGACTCCAATCACCAAGTCGTTGAATGCACAGAATTCTGCAAACAATTCTCCATTCTCGTTCATCACCTCACCGAGCGCCTCTCGACCCATGGTTAGTTCTCTTCCTGTGTTGTCCCCTCCCAGTTTGGCATTCATGTCACTCATTAGAATTTTGATATCGCCACCTGACGTCTTGTCCAGTGTTGATTGAAGTTGTCCGTAGAAGTCTTCCTTTTTCTCTTGCTCCGCATTATCTGAAGGTGAGTAGCATTGTATGATTGTGACCTTCCTTCCTTTTGAGTTGAACCTTGCCGTCATGATCCTGGAGGAGATTGGTTCTCACTGCATAAGGGCCTTCGATGCTGTTGGGGACATCGTGATAGCCACTCCATAACTCAGTGTGCTCGGGGTTGTCGTCTGGGTGACACTTTCGGAGTAGGTTATTGATTCTCCAGTTGACAGTTTGGAGAGTCCACTCCCATTCCATCTGCTTTCGCAAATTCCAAGCACTTCGATGTGATACCTTCTCATCTCTTTTGCAATCTGGGCTGCCTTGCTGTGTTCAAACATGGTGAGGACATTCCATGTCCCCATCCTTACTTTCGCTTTCATCGAGAGGGGACATATCGGCCGATTGGCTTCACGAAGGCTTTCACCAACTGGCGTCCTTTCACCTCTCCGATTCCAGCGAGGAATAATTTTGTTTTTATTTTTCATATATTCGTTTGTGCTTTGAAGTTTCTTTAGCGGTTAGATTTGTTTTACGGTGTAGGGTTGCTAGCCCTATGCCCAACCTTCCCTCCTTACCTGGACTTAGAACCGGCTAGTAACTAGTGAACTAGTTAACCAGGCGAGATTGATGACAAGTATATAATACAACTTAATATAATATATATTATATTCTTAGAACTTACCGGCACCATTCAAGTTCATCGGAATTCATATGTTGAATAATTTGATTATTTGAGGATAATATTTCATTTGAATTATTCATACAAGAATTCATTTCATCATGTATAGTATTCTTGCAAAGACTACGTTTGGAATGACGTCGATGATAATCTTGACATTTAGATAGTTTAGATACTAATAACATTGATCGACGATGATAATTACGTTTTGGTTTTTTAAGTAGTGTATTTGTACAAAAATTGATTTTCTACCTGATTTTCTAGATAATAATACTTTTTCCTCTTCAAAGTTAATATGATGCTTAAATTTATATCTTCTTACTTTAGATTTATTCACTGGAATATTACTAATATCTAATGTATCATTAGGTTTTTGTAATTATGAATTTTTCTCCACCATCCCTGATATTTTCTGGTTTGATTCTGTTTTAAGAATGTATTGTCTACTTTATTAATTGTTTTATACGCCTCTAAACTTGTATCCTCTGTTTTCGTATGTGTATTGTTGTTAACAGAACAAATTTTACGCCTTTTAATCTACAATGGAGTAACAAAAACAAAGATTTCAAGGTATTAGTGTTATTAACTTTATTAAATACTTTTACATGATATGATCATTTAAGTTTTTAAATACACTCAATGTTCATGAGATCATTTTCAAGGTGAAGAACGGTTAGTAGTTTCATATCAATAGCGAAACGTAATCAAAATCAGGTAGTTGTCTGAATTAACACAGTTTATTGAAGACGTAGCGAAAAACTAGACCTTCAAGTGAATGTAAAGAAGACAGAGATGATGAAGATACCCAGTCAATCACCATCAACTAGAGAAACCTAAAGGAAGTAGTCTCTTTCATCTACACCTACCTACGCAAGGCAGCATCATTTCAACTACAGGCAACGGCTCACACACAGACGAGGATGTTAAAACCAGGATCGAAAAGACAGTGAGACAGGCTTTCATCAAGATGAAACCAGTGTGGAGATCTACTGCACTGCACTCAGCTGACACAGTGAATAAGATCCGGATTCTCAACACTAATATCCGTCAAGTGAGTCAGTGCTTCCATGTGATGGCTGAGAGAGTTGGCGTGTTACGAAAGGCATTTCCAACAAACTACAGATATTCATTAACAACTGCCACCTACTCTGGCTCCTTACTGAAAATCAGATCAGATAGCCAGGAAGAATGGATTGGACATGCACTGAGAAGGCCGACTGCGGACATCACGCGACAGACCAGGCTAGGTCGTTGAGTAGAACCCAGATGGGAAACGATGAGTTGGGCGTTGTAGATGAGGGTGATATGGAGTAGATGGTGTGAGGAAGAAATGAGAGTTTTGTGGGCATTGGTGGAGCGAGGTTGAAGAGACTGTAGAGAAGAGAGGGAATGGAGGTGTGCTACTGAAGCTGTATGTTGCACAAGGAACCCAAGGGACAAATAATAATAATTGAAACAAATTTTGTAGAAGGTACTTAATAATCGGTACAGTTCACTCAGCACTCAAGATTAGACAAAATTAAGTTGGTTACCGTCCAGTGACCAATCTATGTGCCTAATCCAGTCCTACAGCAGTTCAGTTGCGACCTGAATAACTCAGTGGTAATGTCACTGACTCCAACACTAAATGACGTGAGTGTGATTCTCAAGCGGGATGTCAGTCCCATGGAAATTGAAGGTACACCTTGTTGATAAGTGGCACAAAGCTGGACTTTCATCAGACTAACAGGTGCTGAGTTTATTCTACGCTTCTGAGCTGTGAACAGTCTTCTCCAGCTGACAGTTGATCCAAGGAGGTGTAAATAACAAAATGCCCATTTGGACAGCATCAATGTGTGTCTATTGGCTTACCTGCTCTTATGCACTCGTTTTTGTAGACTGCACGAAGCGAAGTCTATCCAAATGGAAACGTAAACCTAGCGAAAGATGCCTTGTAGACCATTGTGCCATTTTGCTTTCTCATATTATCAAAATCAAGTCAGGAAACTCAAAAGGAGGATACATTTGTCCTGACAGATTAAAGTCCGAACTCTGCGTACTAAAAACGTACGTCCAACCTTTTATTTTGCCATGGTGATAATCTTTCCTCAATATACTGGGTATATTAATTCTAATTTCTTATTGAAATTCTGATAATAATTCATTTTGGTAATCAATTATTATTATTATTATTTCCTAACCTATTTATCATCACCGTGATCGAGTGCATATTTATCCTGTACACCTTAGAAATACATGATCTAATTTGAATGTCTCAGTGGGATTTCTTCCTGATTTTAAATATTCTACAATAAGTACAGTTTTACAATCAGATTCGGAATAGATGTAGATGAGCTGTGGAAACTGATAAGAATACTACTTAAATGGAAATAAGTAGTAACGTTTCTCTTAACTTCTGCAAAAACTGTTTATATCTCAATAAGTAAATTAACTCCTCATTTTTACTGAAGTTGAATTTTCTTCTTTAAAATCTATATGAACTGTGCTTCAAGTGAACTATATGGCTAGTACTTTTAACCTATGACTTTCAAAGACATACATTATATATTTAGTTCATAGATCATAACTATCGCCGCAAAGTAAAAGGAAAAAGGGAGGTATTGGTTACATTGTGTTCCCTGAGCTAGGTTGTTTAATCGTGAAGCCTTCAAGTTCCTTCTAGACGACATCATCAGCACTAAATTCAGTATGAAGTGAGTTGTCACGGAGAGATATTGACAGCTTACTTCATACTGAAGTTAGTGCTGATGATGTCGTCTAGAAGGACGATGAAAGCTTCACGATTAAAGAACCCAGCTCCGAGAACACAATGCAACCAAGACCATCCACCTGAGCTACAAATATCCTCCACTATTTCAAAAGAAGGTATATCTAGTTAATGGATCCCGATGAAGAGGAAAGATGCATCCTGGATTTCATCTCTAGCTACCAAATAAACCATAATAGGTAGATGATTTCTCTATGTAGACGTAATCACTTGCATATTGTGAAATATATTCAGAAGACGAATTCATTTCACTAATCAAGATTTGTTCATCAACTTTATTATTATTTTTCCTTTAGGTTCCTAGTGGAACATAGGGCTTCAGTAGCACGCTTCCATTCCACTCTGTTTTCTGCAGTCTTTTGGACCTGGCCGCAAGAGTGCCCACAAGCTTTCATTGTTCATTAACAAGGATCTATCTAACTGTCTTATCTGTTAATCTACTTATTTACTGCTTGTTTGTTGAAGAAATTTATGACACTTTGACTTTAAATATTGATATTTTGTTCTATCTGAACAATTTTTAACCTTAATTATGTATAGTAATGATTGGCCATGACCTAGCAATGCCAGCAGAGACTGATCAATTCAGTCCAATCAACGACGGTGTAATACAGGTAATAACACTAATATTTGGCTTTTATTATATAAGTGATTTCATTTATTCTTCAAATAAAGTAAATTACAATTGATATTATTAAAGACAGATAATATTGATAATGGTTTATCGTATTGAACAAGGCATATAAGTAAAAGGCATAGTTTATCTGTTTGCCTGTCTATCTATCCTTCTTATTCACCCTCTCATCTTTTATATTTCTTTGTTCATATAGGTCATAAATTTTGCATATTTCTAATTGGTATATATTATCATTGGAAAACTAAAATTTAACTACTATTTTTGTTTGAATAATTACAATTAGGCATATTTGAAATAAGCATACTTCTTAAAATAAATTGATAATTCCTCAAGTTTAACCTTGATTTCTGATTATTATTACCATTATTTGTCCCTTGGGTTCCTTGTGGAACATACAGCTTCAGTAGCACGCCTCCATTCCACTCTCTTCTCTACAGTCTCTTCAACCTCGCTCCACCAATGCCCACAAAACTCTCATTTCTTCATCACACCATCTACTCCATATCACCCTCATCTACAACGACCAACTCATGTTTCCCATCTGGGTTCTACTCAACGACCTAGCCTGGTCTGTCGCGTGATTTCCCAGTCGGCCTTCTCAGTGTATGCCCAGTCCAATACATCTTCACTTCCTTTCTGTGCATATTTGTTGAGTGATAGATTCTTGCTTGGTTGGTTCGTTGCAGGCCAACCAGAGTTCTTTGTTGTTTATTCTTTCTGGCTATCTGATCTGATTTTCAGTAAGGAGCCAGAGTAGGTGGCAGTTGTTAATGAATATCTGTAGTTTGTTGGAAATGCCTTTCGTGACACGCCAACTATCTCAACCATCACATAGAAGCACTGACTCACTTGACTGATATTAGTGTTGAAAATCCGAATCTTGTTCACTGTGTCAGCTGAGTGCAGTGCAGTAGATCTCCACACTGGTTTCATCTTGATGAAAGCCTGTCTCACTGTCTTTTCGATCCTGGTTTTAACATCCTTGTCTGTGTGTGAGCCGTTGCCTGTAGTTGAAATGATGCTGCCTTGTGTATGTAGGTGTAGGTGAAGGAGACTACTCTTCATTTAAGTTTTCTGCGGTTGATGTTGATTGGAGCTTGTTGTTATTGTTGTTGTTGATGGTGTTGATTGGGTATCTTCATAACCTTTGTCTTCTTTGCATTCACTTGAAGTCCCGTTTTCACTGCCCTGCCCCTCCTGTCAATCTGTTAGTTTTCGCCCGCAGATCTTCGAGTTTGTGCGACATTAAACATAAATCCTCGTCATCGAAATCCAAATCTTCTAGAGTCTTTTGCTCAAATTAGTTCTCGGTCGACGCTATCAAAGGCCTTTTCAAAGTTGATTTCTGATACAAGACCAAATTCAAGGTCATAGCACGTTATATCTAAAGAATGAGAATTTAATGTGGAAAAATCCAGTCAGACAATAAATGCTACAGGTTATCATATAAGTGGGCTGCTTTATGGTTCAGAAACTTGGGGCGTCACGAAAAACACTTCCAACAAACTACAGACATTCATTAAGAGCTGCCTATGCTGGCTCGATACTGAAGATCAGATGGCCGGAATAATAAGAATAAGCAGCAACGAACCCTGGGGACGAATTAACCAAGAACCTATCCGCCAACATTTTCGCAGAAAAAAGTGGTGATGGATTGGGTGTACACTGAGAAGGCCGACTGGGGACATCACGCGATGTACTAGGCCAGGCCATCGAGTGGAACCCAAATGGGAAACAATGAGTTGGGCGTCCGAGACGAGGGTGACATGGAGGAGATGATGTGGGGAAGAAATGAAAGCTTGTGCGCAGTCGTGGTACCAGGTCCAAAAGACTGTAGAGAAGAGAGTGCAACTGAAGACGTGCTACTGAAGCCCCATGTTCCACTAGAAACTCAAGGGAAAATAATAATAATAATATTTTCGTATAAGTGAACAGGAAACTGTTAAGATAGGTTTATAGGTATTTAGGATAAGTAAAAAACTTTTTTCAAAGTATATTAAGTGAAAAATGTACCGGTTTAATACCATTTAATTCTATATTTCGAGACTACTGGTAGTATGAACTGCATTAAAAGTATATTTTAAAATATCAAATAACTCTTATGTTGGTTGACGAAATTGAAAATTTCACTACTAAACAAGTCTGCATACCTTTTCGTTACCATTTGATTCCGAGTAATCTGCCACATCTTCATATTCTTTACGTTTTCTACGAGATTTTGATAGTCGTAAATCACAGTTTTCATGATTAAGCTTGGAATACTTTAGAATGATACAGTTTGAGCAGTACCATCGTTTTGGGATACGTATAAATGTTGGTCTAGCACAACTGTTATGTACAGCTCTTGAACAATGACAACAAATTGCCATTCGTTTAACATCTGATGGTGATTGACTATTCATTTGTTGTATTGTATCGTCAATTTCACATCTACCACAAATATAGCATAAGTGTTTTGAAGTAGCTTTCGATACACAATCATAACAGAACCAATCACCGGATGGAATGTTGGATAATTGTGGTCGAAAACAATATGTATGATAACCACGATCGCATCCATCACATAACAGTAAACAAGCTTCATTATTATCACGTCTACATATTTGACAAAGCTGATAGAAGTATTTTGAAGAAAGATAAAAATAAAATGAAAATTCAGTCAAAAATCTGTACACATGAAATACTTAATGGAGTTTAAAATGAGCTACAAAGGAAAATGAAGTGGTATTGGGTTGATAATTGAACCAGGCGCAAAAATTTCAATGTTCAATGGTAAGGTTGAAATTTCAGTTGCTCAAAAATATTAATTGACAGTATGCAATAGATATACATTTTGAATAGCTTTCAGCAACAACAAAAAAGGTATATAACATTTGTTGTTTATAAGTACAGATAGTATACGTATACGTATAACATTACACATACATCCACTATATTTTGAAGGTCGATACATAAAAGTTAACTGTGCTAAATATTCTATTGGAATTTCAGAAAACTTATCAAAATGTTCTGGATATTTTGATATTAGGTAACAATCCCTATTAGAAGTCTAGGGGTAAAGTATTATTACGTTACAGAATTTCAAGAGTATAAAAGTGTAACCTTAGGACCCTATCAACCTGTACTTTTACTTAGCAAGGTTGTCACATTAGATGATTATTGATACTGAAAGGTGTTACAAGAAAAATGCCTATGAGATATTATATAATCAACAGATTGTTCACAACTGAAAGATTTCCCATTTGATATTGGAAGACGGTCTTCTATGAATTGCCTTGCTCTTAATTGTTCAAAATGTCAAATTATAAACTTTAGTTTCAGATGTTAAACATAACCTATGTAAACTATTTAGGTGTTGATGATTCTTGTTTTCGTGATGGTTGTGATTTTGCTCAGCTTGTTTTTCTTCGGACTTTTCCTGGTCCTTTCAAATCTTACTAGTTTTCAAAAGAATGTTTTTAGATTATAAAGCTAAAGGTATCTGATGTAACTCATTCTCTTGTTTTGTTTTTGCTAAACTTCTTTATTTCAAGTTGTTATTCATCGAAGACTGACATCAGTTGGAGGAACAAAGGAAACCTGGGAGCACTGGACAGCTGTTTCGTCCTAGTATGGAACCTGAAGGTCGCGGGTTCGATCCCTGCTGGTGGGGTCGTGGGTGCGCACTGCTGAGGAGTCCCGTACTAGTCGGACGAAACAGCTGTCCAGTGCTCCCAGGTTTCCTTTGTTCCTCCAACTGATGTCAGTCTTCGATGAATAACAACTTGAAATATTTCCAAATCTCCACAACCCCCTCAAAATTTAATTAAACTTCTTTATCTTGCCTATTCTGCTAAGTTTTTCCCCTTTATTCTTTCCCAGGTGAATGAGAAACGACCAGGCTATATTGCATGGAACTTTGAAGATTATCAGCGGAACTAGTGGTGTACCTCTAAACCTTCTGATTGAAACTGTTATGCACAAACATCTTAACTTATATAAACATGAAACAAGAGTTAATTTATGAGATGACCAACATCCTCTTCACTGAAAGCTGTCTACTTGTCAGTCATGAGACAAAACTAAGAGCAAATGTGTATCAGTGTGATATGATTGTGAGCAATAATAATTTATGCTGGAAACGTCGTCAAGTAAATAATACTATATCATTGTGTGTTATAGACCAAATAAACAAATCTAATATGGAATTATATTCTATCACAGTGGCCACATTTTACACATGTTACTTAAGTTAACTCTAGATTTTCAATAAAGTTGTAGATGGAGTAAATATTCTCATGTTTTATATGTGATCCTTACTTATTTCATTGTATTGTGTACACATATGCAGAATTTCTGTTCAGTTGGTGCTATATGATGTTCTGAAAATTCTGTACAGTATTTCCGAGATATCTTGCAGGATCAAGCCACTATTATTCGTATCATTGTTAACCGTAGTAGTAGTAGTAGTAGTAGTAGTAGTAGTAGTAGTAGTAGTAGTAGTAGTAGTAGTAGTAGTAGTAGTAGTATTAAGATATTCTCCTGGATATTTCATTGTCATTCTAGACATCATTATCAGAAAGAAGTGACCTATGGGTTTTTCTCTACAAATGACTTGGGAGGTTGTCCTGGTGGCCTTGGTGTGTGATTGGTTGTTTCTATGAAAGTCTTGTCATTGTCTTCATATTTATTTCAACTGGTTGTCCTTTAGTTGACAACTGAGCCATCCAAATTGGAGAACACAATACCATCAACAAAAATTGGAACTGTTTCTTTCACAATAATGTTTCCTTCTGTTTTGAAATGTTCTGGATGAAATAATGATAATAACGTGTCACAGCAGCTAACCTATTACCTTTTATTCAAAAGTAAATCCAAACTAAACATGTCATGAAACGAAAATTACCATTGTTAGTTGTTTATAGGAATTCAGTGGGAAGCCCTGATTAACTTACGTTTCGCGTTTAGTTATACTTTTCACCAAAGCAACCTTCGTTTAGTATTATCCAAATAACAAATCTTCACTGTTAATAAAGGTGAATGTTTCATAGTATAACCTTGACGTCTTATTTCTACAAATATTTCCCCAAAGACTTCCCGTAAAGTTGAAATAGAATACCTTATCTCATTCTCAGAGAATTTCACCATGTTTAACAGCAGTCGTTCCATAAGAATACGCTTTGTAAAGTTTAGAAGTTTAACTTTTCTAAAGTTGTTATCCACTACATCACTAATGCATTACTTGTTAGCTCTGGTAGAACTATATCTACATCATAGTAGCAGGTAAACTAGTTTTTATTTACACAACTTCTTTCATACAATTCAGTCTTAGTGTTTTATAAACGTTGAAAGTTATTTCGAGCTCACATTAATGATGAACAGGTCCATGTGAAACTCATAGATTATCTTTGAGGAAAATCATAAACTTTTGAATAAATATGGTCATAATTCATGTTTCAATCAGTTTGAAGCGACGAGTTGGGCGTCCGAGGTGAGGGTGACATGGAGGAAATGAGAGCTTGTGGGCTGTCGTGGAGCCAGGTTTAAAAGATTTCAGAGAACAGAGTGGAATGGAGACGCGCTACTGAAGCCCTATGTTCCATTAGGAACCCAAGGGACAAATAATAATAATGAGAAGACGTAGATTATCTGAAAAGTGTGATATATTTTCGTAGTACATTTCGAACAATCTCATCCCCCACACATTCACTTGTCTCAAGTCAATTTATTTATATTTGAAAATGAAAAGTCAAATGTAATGAATATGAAAATGCTGTCATACTAGTCTTGGTAATATAATCAGATAAGGTAATGCAAGTACCTCGGCGCTTTACGAAAAGCATTTCCAATAAACTGAAGATATACATACATCAACAGCTGCCACCGACGCATCGCTCGGTACTGAAGATCACATTAGATGGCCAGAATAATATGAATAAGCAACAAGGAACTCTGGGATTCCATCTGGTCCCGCCTGATGCTTTCCCGAATTTCAGCAGTTTTATGGCATTCACGACTTCTGCTTTTGTCGGAGGGCATTTGTTCACTTGTAGTTCTACCATTGCTGGTGGTATTTCTGGACGAGTTGCAGGTGGTAGTGGTTGGTTCAAGAGTTTTTTGAAGTGGTCAGTCCATTGTTTCCTTTGTTTCTCCTCTTTAGTAGCTTGCTTTCCTTCACTATCTTCCACTAGTCTCGTTTGCCTTGATCTCTTCCTGCATAGTAACCTGGTTATTTGATATAGCGTTGTCAGTTCTCTGTCTCTCTTACATGCAGCCTGTTCTGCTTCACTTGCCAATGTGTCTTTTACCTTTGCGCGCGTTCTTCTTCACTTTTTTGTCTAGTGTAGTGTTTTATATGTTGCGTTCAGTTCCTCTTTTTGTTGTTCACCCAGAAATCTGCAAACAGTTCTCCGTTTTCATTCATTTCACCTAGTGCTTCTCGGCCCATGGTTAGTTCTCTTTCTGTGTTGTCGGCTATCAGTTTGGCATTCATGTCACCCATTAGAATTTGATGTCGCCAACTGGAGTCTTGTCTGGTACTGATTGCAGTCGTCTGAAGAATTCCTCCTTCTTCTCTTCATCTGCATTATTTGTTGGTGCATAGCACTGAATGATTGTAACTTTCCTCTCTTTTGAGTTGAATCTTGCTGTTATGATCGGGATCGCGGAAAAGATTGGTTCCCACTGTATGAGAGCCTTCAATGCTCTTGGGGACATCATGATAGCCACTCCCTCAGTGTGCTGGTGGTTGTCGTCTGGGTGACCGGAGTAGGTTATTGACTCTCCAATTAGGAGTTTGGAGAGTCCACTTCCATTCCACCTGCTTTCGCAGATTCCAAGCACTTCTATGCCATACCTTCTCATCTCTTTTACTATCTGGGCTGCCTTGCTGGGTTCATACATGGTGCGGACATTCCATGTTCCCATTCTCACTTTCACTTTCCTCTTTACCCGGGCTTAGGATAGGGTAGTAACTAGTGAATTAGTTAACCAGGGGGGGAGCTGTTATAGTCATGGGAAACTATAAATATCAATAGGTTTTAGTGACGTTATTTGTACACACTGGTATAAAATTATCATAAATTTATCCAAACAATGTAAGTAAAGAAATGTTATTTCTCAACTAGAGTCTCAACATTAACTTTATACCACAATAAACTAATGAATTGCTATTTATCAAGTGAGTAACTAATATTTTCTTTTCCAAACAATGATTGTTAAATATTGACATAGTGTGTGATACACTCTTTATCAAACATAAAACAATTATTTAACCCATCAACTAATATCCCTATTTTATCGATGGGAAATCTTCCTATTCTCACTGTCTATCAGATCAGAACTTCAAAAACTTATGTTTAACATCAGTGTACAGACAGAGAGACAGCCTGAATCAACGCTTAACCTCACACATACAAGTATATCGGTCCAAGTTGTCACATTTCACAGTAATATACAAAGAATAGGTGGACAGAATAAGACTGATATCAAAGTACACAAAGTGGTGTGAGAGAGAATAAGCAATTTGAAGATAAAGATTAGTGTGAATATTCAAGATTTTGAAGATGACAAGGAGTGACGAATTTTCAGTTATGTAACCAAGAGTCTTCAACCACTGATTTATATTGTCTGGTAGATAGCCGGTATGCAGTCTACATCTCTCTAGATGGTGTACACCAACAGTAAGAGAATTCATGGACCGGTATTATGTTCTGGTGTGGCCACCCTAAAACCTCTTACAACCTAATCCAACTTCCGTACGCATGGCATGTTGAGGTAGGCGGTGACTCAGCATGGGCAATATATGTTCAAACAATCTCAGCCCACAAAGGTTCGCAACCTCATCAGACGAATTGTTTGTCTTGTCTAGTACTCTTCACCTGACCTCATCCTTGCTCACCTAACGCAAGCAATGCTTTGAAGACACAAATGATCTGCTTTTAAAGATCATGTCTCACGTCCCTGTAACAGGATCGAATGAATTACAGTGAGGCATGCTCGTGCTTTGGTAGGCAGTGGAATATTTCACCCAGTCAACGCAATAGATGATGAAAGTTGAAAAATGTCAAACAACCCTTCTGTATACGAGTTGAGATTTCGTCAGCAACCAGCCTGTTTGGTCTGATGCAGCTCTTCAAGTAAGTGAAGTAGTTGAAATATTTCACCACTTTGCTCCTTACCATTAAACTGGGAGTAGTTGTATACCAGTCTTGGGGTATCATCTAACATTTGATAGGTGTCAGCGAAACGCATGCCAAACATACTCAGATTTCTGTTGAACGCATTTCGAAGACCTTGTACTTATCAGCGTCTTCATTTAGCAGGGCAACACCTTTTGGAAACTCCAAGTCAACCAGTTGACCTCCAGAGAGTAGATCAATCCCTGAGAATTCACACATATATAGGGTTATGTCCATTAGTATGTCTGCAGAGAAGCTAAACAGCGACGATGACAGTGGAGATCCTTGGCGGACACCACTGGTTGTCGTCGGTTTCAAAGATAGCTCCCAATAAGCCTTGACACGACTGCATGGATTCGAGTAGAGAGCTTTGATTAGCACTGTTAACTTACTCAGTATTTCTTTCATAGTTGGATACTGCCCCAATACTTCACGGTCGACAGAGTCAAATGCCACCTTCAGGTTAAGAAATATAGCAAGTGTTGGCCATTGGCTGGCAAGTACGCCTGTGTTCCAGAACCTGTCGGAGTGTGAAAATATGGTCGGTGCACCCTCGTCTAGGTCTGAAATCTGACTGCTTTTCTCAAGTATACTGTTCCTGAGCTCCAATTAGGCATCGGAAAACCATGGTATCTAGAATCTTAGACACAATATTAGTCAACTTAATTCCCTTCTCACCGTTCTTAAAGACTGGGATTATTAATGAAGTGCACCAATCTGACGAGACTACCTAGTACCTCTGTCACAGCAAGCAGTAATTTAATACCTCCATCCTTGAAAACTTCAGGTGGTAAACTGTTATGTCCTGGTGTTTAGCATTGTTTCAGGTTTAATATACCTTCCTCAACTGCAAGGAGAGTTGGCGGACCGATATCTGCGTCCCATTCATCTTCAGGATGGATGTTGGGCAACTGAAGCATTGTTGAGCGCTAGTATTTCGTCTAACATTCTATCCGCCTGTCCTGGAAAGTTATCGGCGTCCCATCTTTTCGACGATGGTTTCGCTCGTCATCGTCTTCTTCTTGTTGGTACCCTAAATAAGCCTAAATAGTTGCCCAGTGTTACTCAAGGCAGATGCTTGCTCCATTTCCTTAACTTTCACCATCAATCATTGCTCGCAACCGACTCGAAAACTCTTGATCAACTTACTACTTAGTTGCTTTCGCTGTTTATCGTGGCCAAAGTTAGCTGGAATCAACTTTCTTGCATCAGCCAGTTCGGTTGACGCTTGGAAAATTCAATGACGTTTGCTAGCATTCGAGTGTAAGTTACCAGATGTCTTTACTGTTGTTCGAACAGTGAACTTAGGTCTCCTCAGGACGAGCACTGGTGTCATGTCCAGATAAATGATTAGCTAACACACAGCCTTTCATCTAGTTAATGAAAAAAGTTCACCATTTAATATATATTGAACATCAGTTTAGCTCTCGAAAAGAGCCATGGTTTGGCAAATTTGTTTTCATATTGGATGATGATTCAAAGCGAAATGAAAATTTGGGCCATATGAGTATTAGAACCAGTGGCGACCGAGTATCCGGCCCAGCGCTCTACCAGTTGGTATCGTAGCTGAGTTGGTAAAACACCGGGGAGTAAACCCGACGGTAGATGATTCGGATCCTCCTATAGTCCTACCTGGCTGTCCAAATCTAAAAAAGATGGAGGTGCGTTTGAAGCCATAACCATTGATTTGGAAGTTAATTAGTTAAAGTCCTCCAAATACCCTGGCATGGGTTCCCAGCCTCTGCTAGAGAAGTCCTTTCCACTGTCTCCGAATGGTAAGGGTGTTTCCACAGATGTGAAAGGGTGCAGGAAAATGTCCGGTGCTTAATACTGGGTTAGTGGGTACTGAGGGTTTGCCTAGGGGAGTTGGAAAACTGTGATTCTAAATGTATGGCGCTCATGGTCTCCAGGTTCAAGATGGAACGAATGGCATATGAATCTATTTTGGTCACCGGGGACTATGGGAATGAAGCTTCTGATGTCGCTCTACTGCCGTATGGATTAGACTTTAAGTAAAAGGCTTGGGGAATAGTCCTCTAGGACAACTATCTGCTTCGGTCTCGGTGCCCAGACAGTATCTCAGCCCTCATATAAAATATGAATTTACAATGAGCCACAGCTCCACACCAAACAGTGAGATTTTACCGTTGAAATCGAATATTGCCTAATTACGACGTATAAATATTGAAGACAGGTTACATGTTGCATTGTCTCCAAAAGTGTCAATGATGATCTTCTGCTTGGTATACTCCTTGTGAAAGTGAACAAAACAACGAGCTACTTAGTTAACCTATTAATCTTATGTACACCACGTTTTATAAATAAATCCACTTACTACTTTCATAATTGACTTATCCCATGCAATTGCTTGAATCAGTTCCTCCATGGAACGACGTACTGTCATAACATCAGACGCTTGATACAAATTTTTACGCCAGTTAATGAGTCCTGGAGGAAGAGTTTCACTTGTAACAGCCTTTGATGTTAAGTCTGACTCACCTAGATGTGTGGTAAGAATCTGAGAATTACAATCTGTGTAATTCTCGCCTTCATCATTTAAGTCAACTTGTTTGTTGATAACACGATGGATCTGTGGTAATTGATAATGTGTGGAAGTTTGACTATTGTCATCATGAACTCCAGGATTAGTTGTACACTTGTCAAGCTCCATGTTATCACTTTCTCCTTCAGTTTCATTTCCTATATCTTTACACTCTTTTATACTACACTTGTTATCAGGGAGAAGAGTAAGCTCAGTAGTACTACCTTTGGATACAACGTTCAACTGAACTTCAGAATTAAGCGGTGGAAGTAGATAACGACGTTCCAAATGATGTTCAATGTTTATTAAACGACTTCGTGCCAAATCAATTGGCCAATGTTCAAAAGGTGATTGTTTCACTGTTGTACGAGGGATGAGTACAATTGTTTCATCTTCAAGTGTTTTAGTTGGCGCCTGAAAAATTTAAAAAATTAAAAATCTCATCTATCAGCACCAGCAAAGTATTTCAAATTTTTCATAAGAAAAAGATAAATTCTAAAACGTGAAGAAGTATTACTTTGTATATACTGCAGTTCTGCATTTCATTGTGTTGTAAATAATTTAGAACTCAATAATCAAGAAACAAACTATCATCCATAGATTGTATTTACACCTAGTTTCTCTTTTATCAATTGTTAGTTATGTTTTTAAGGCCTTCGACAGTGTCGACCAAGAAGTGATTTGGCAGTTGCTTCAACACTACAGTTTTAGTGCCACACACCTTTATCAACCTCATTCAACGGCTATATGAAAATACCATATGCCAGATGATCCACAATGGAAAGCTCAGCGAAGCCTTTGAAGTGAAAACAGGAGTAAATTGAGGTTGTCACCTACTATCACCGATGATTTTCCTGATTGTGGTGGACTGGATCATGCAGCAAATAGTGGGGAGCAAGGAGATGGATATACGCTGTTTGACCGATAAGAAGACCCTAGAAGATTTGGATTTCGACGATGAAGATTTATGTTTAATGTAGCACAAACTCGGAGATCTGCAGGCGAAACCCAATAAGTTGATAGGAGAGGCAGGGCAGCGAAGGCGGGACTTCAAGTGAATATAGAGAAGATAGAGATGATGAAGATACCCAATCAACACCACCGCCAACAACAACAAACTCCAACCACCATTAACGGGGAAACCTAAAGGAAGTAGTTTCTTTCACCTACACCTACCTAGGCAGGCAGCATCGTCTCAACTACAGACGACACAGACACAGATGAGGATGTCATAACTGGGATCGGAAAGACAACAAAACATATCTCAGCAGTAGTATCTGTGACTCCAGTGGTTGGTGATGTAAGGGCAAATCAGTCCGCTTGATGTTGCAGGTGTATTTTCCTGATGAGTATCAGGGATCAGGAGAGGTCAGGTGAATAACCACACTTGGGTCCTGTATGCGTGTCTCACAAACACAGCACATATCCATGCCCCGAGTTGCTAGAGTCTTTGCTGACGAAGCCTGTTGGCCTGTTGGTCAAGGATGCCCACTATCCCCATTCTTATTTAATTTTATCATAGATATTCTTATGGAGGTTTCCCTCTCGTCACCTAATTACACAGACGTTGACCCAATCACAGGTGAATTTTCTTTAGATCTAGAATACGCAGATGACATAGTCCTGTTAGGTGAAGACGCTGACAAGATGCAGAGTCTTCTGAACACTTTGAGTGGGAATTTGAGAATGTTTGGGATGCGGTTTTCACCACCCAAATGCAAATTTTTGCTCCAGGACTGGTCTTCAGCGGTACCGCGGTTAACAATAGAGAGTGAAGTGGTTGAGTGTGTTGACCACTTCACTTACCTGGGAAGTAGGATCAACCCTGGTGGGTTAGTTGCCGATGAGATTTCAGCACGGATACAAAAGGCTCGATTGGCTTTTGCCAATTTGCGCCACCTATGGCGCCGCCGTGATATTCGTTTGTCTATTAAGGGTCGCGTGTACTGCACAGCAGTCCGCTCTGTTCTACTGTACGGCTGTGAAACATGGCCATTGAAAGTGGAGGATACAAAAAGGCTTCATGTGTTTGACCACCGTTGCCTTCGTAATATAGGACGTATTCTGTGGTGTCACCATGTGAGTAATGCAGAAGTTAGGTGTAGAGTTTTGGGGAGAAGAGGTAGGTCAGTTGACGAGGTTGTGAACCTTCATCGACTGAGATGGTTGGGACACGTACTACGTATGCCTAGTCACCAAATGCCTCATCACACAATATTGGCCGAAGTAGGTTCAGGCTGGAAAAAGGCCCGAGGTGGCCAGACTAAAATATGGCACCAATGTATGAAGTCTCTGACTGTTGATTTAAGCCATGTGAGGCGATGCAGACTAGGTGGTTGGGGTCGGTGGGGGGACAAGAGGAACCAGTGGTTGGAGACCCTATGTGATATGGCTGAGAACCGATGTCATTGGTGCAGATGTATACACACATTATCCTCATCTTAACGACGCTATCTTGAATCTCACCATTTTGTCACTCCTCTTTCCTTTCTTCTCGTACTTTATATTTCTTTTGACTGCATTCACTTATCTTCATCCTTCACCTCACTACCTTTTTACTTGATGTGGTGATATGAGGTGTGGCAACTCGGACCGTTACGCAATAATGCCTGGTCCTATGTTGGTAATGATGATGATGATGTATCAGGGATCTTGTAACGTAGGTCAAGCAGGACTTCCTGGTGATCGCCACCGATTCTCTGGCGTTTGGATCTTAGTGTATTTATGTGATGTTTTATGAGTTCTCTTCGGATGTTTCTCATTTGGGAACTTAATAAATTTCCTTATTAACCTCTTTTTTTTTTAGAAAACATATTGTTTAATAGTTTCCATATAGATTCAGATGTATCGCAGTGGGAACAACATTACTCACTGGGATGTAAGCACGTCCAGCTGACAAATCACAAAGAGGGTGAAACACGCGTCCTGTATACCACTCTTAGCTACAGATGCGACTACAATATAGTAAATATCCGGGCAATATCAAGCCTATATACAGGAATATATCTACTAAAAGAGGTCAAACAATTTGACTCTTTATAGCAACGAGAAGTTGTAAGTGTCAACAAATAACAATAGGGGAACTCAGTTAAAGATTATATGATGATAATATTTCTACAGCCTGTAAGATTTGATCTTGCAGTAATTAATTCACTTCAGACTGTTTTAGTTTTTAATTTGATAGTGCTTAGCCTTCAGATAGTGTACATAAAAATGCCTAATCTTATCTCTGGCTTTGGATTTAGCATATTAACAAGATTATTATCAGAAAGCTAAAATTATATTCATACCGTCCATCCTTTAATTTGTAAGCTAGCACACAGTACTCTATCCTCAAGAGCTTCTACTTCACAAAGCAGTTGGCATTCATTGATAAAAGTGACGTATTCCTCCGTCAAGGTATCATCCTTCTGCCATTTCTTATCATCAACAAACCTGTATTTAGAATTTGTAACACTAACTGCATCTGGAAGTGATTTATTAGGAGAATAAGGATAACCATTGTAGATATCCATACGATTGCGTTTTGAATATGTTGAAGAGGTGGTTGTCAGACCGAAGTTAGATTCACTAGAACAGTCGTCACTGTAACGCAGATCAGAATGAGAGAGAGCTGAGTGCGGACGTTCAATCTCTTTGCTATCATGTGAATAACTTGCTTCCCATGATGATGGTGTGGTGAAATATCGTGATCCTTTCTCGGAGAGTAATTTATGATTACAGCTCTTAGTACAATTGTGTAGTGATACGTCATTTGTCCTTGTGTGGCCTCTCATACTTCGCCGTCCTCTACGACGATAGGAACGGATTCGAAAAGGTTGAGGGTTGAATCTGGTAGCAGACATGCATTTAGCAGCATCAAATTCAGAATCTGGAAGGAATGGAAGAATTATATAAAGACATATATAAGTTGAAAGTGACTAGTGTTATAACATGAGCTATTTAAAAGTGTTTTAGAAAAGTTTTCATCTATGTCATTTTACAAAAACGACGGCTCAGTGTCGTCAGTACCTTTGGCAGCGTTGATAAAATGAAGCGGACTTCTTTACATCCACTGATCTGTATCACTTCCGTATAATCTGGATATAAATGTCGTCAATGGGTAGAAATAAACGTAATTCACAAGCATGATTAGGATCCATCCATTTGCAGAAACATAGCATTGAAACATGAAGCGCAATTTTTGAAATTATGGCATGAAATTCAGGAGTACCATTAGCCTTTACATCGATATATGTATATACATATATTCACTTTGGTGGCCCGTATCAAGATACCTATATCTTTCTGAAATCCCCAAACCATTAATAGTCTTTCAGTGTGCTTGACTATCTGAAAAGTTTTACTATGAACCACATGAAGATTTCTGATTGGTTAGTTACCTGAAGTTAGCGATGTCGGCCAAGATCACTTTAAGAAATTAGTTCCTCATCAATGGCTCTACACTAATAAGTGTCTAAATAGGAATTTTCGCATTAGTGAAATCTTCTGAGCATCGGATTGCGTTAAAGATCCTCAATGAGTATCTGAAGTACAGCGCAAGGCTCGGTGAAGCGAAGACTTCGATGGACTTTATCTATGAGTGTATTCAAACCAACCGCTATCCTAAAACCTACTGGAAATCTCTACGTCGTAGCAGAGTTCGACCAAACGGAAGAACACTTAAACGACATGCTCTTAACCAGATTGATTCTCTGAAATCATGCGTAACTGAGTTGATGAAAAACGTTGCAGAAAGATTCCATGCTGTTGAAGATCTCCCACACCACCTGAAACAGCCATTCTTGGAATATGTGAATCAAATTGTCAGCAAAAGGAAGGAGAAGAAAAGAATTCACCTTATTCAAAGCTTGGAGAACCGGACTCCGAAATGAGATTTCCTCCAAATCCTGGTCGGTATGTTCATAATTTTTCCAATGTTGATCTTGACATGGTAACACTACAAGCATTATCTCTGGGTCCTAAGTTTTGTGACAGTCATATTACACCTAACAGAATAAACACTCAAGTCCAGTTTGAAAATTTATACTCACAGACAGAAGGCTTATCACCTTCTTCAAGTGAGGAGGTAGAAAGATTCAAGTCTACTCTGGTTGACTGTTGCTACAAATTTATGAATAGTAAGCAGAATGCTAGAAGCATCTTGACTAGAAAACATAGAGAAGCCTTACGTAAACTCCGAATGAATGAGGATCTGCTGATCACCAGGCCGGATAAAGGCTCAGGGGTGGTTATTATGAACAAAGCCGAATACCTAGATAAAATGAACAGACTTCTCAGTGATGACAGTAAATTTCAGAAACTACCAACCAATACTGACATGACAGAGAAGACGGAGAGGCAATTATCCGAATCCTTAAAAAAGCTGAAACAGCAAGGCTTCATTTCACAAAATGAGTATGAAACACTCAGACCTACTGGCACAGTAACACCGAGGTTGTATGGTTTACCAAAGGTGCATAAGAATGGATTACCACTCCGACCGATTCTCGACATGTCAAACTCTCCATACCATGCGACGGCGAAATGGCTAGTACAACTCTTGAAACCATTGCATAAGGAGGTTGTAAAGCATAGCGTCAAAGATACTTTTCACTTTATCGATAAAATAAGAGATTTGAATGTGAATAATAAGTCATGATATCCTTAGACGTATCATCCCTATTCACAAATGTCCCTCTGATGGAAACAGTGGACTTCATATGTAGCGAACTGGAAAAGAGAAACATAGAAATTGGAATTACGGCATCCACCTTGAAAGAGCTTCTCTTACGATGTACAATGAATGTACACTTTCTCTTCAATAAGGAATTCTATAGACAGTCAGACGGTGTCGCTATGGGGTCACCACTAGGCCCAATCTTAGCGGACTTCTTCTTAGCAAAATTAGAAAATGGCCCTCTGGAAAGCATCATAAGCGGGTTAGAATTTTATTGCCGTTATGTAGATGATACATTCTTGATTGTGAATAACGAGGACGATGCAAGGATCATACTGGATGAATTCAATGGCGTCCATCCAGCAATAACCTTCACTATTGAAACAGAAAGTGACGACAGCATCACCTTCTTAGATGTCCGATTGACAAGGAAGGTGGATGGAACTATAAAAAGAAGTGTGTATCGGAAACCAACGTCAACAGGTCAATACACCCACTTCTTGAGTTTCGTCCCCTTGCAATATAAACGAAATCTCGTTAAATGTTTGGTCCATCGGGCGAGACTCATCTGTTCAGATGATACTTTTGACGAAGAGCTTCAAATTATCCACGATCTACTCAGTAGTAATGGATATCCAGAAACGTTCCTGGCTAAAAATATGAACACATCCAATATGAAAACCAGAATGCCTACAGTCTCCAAGAAACCATTGTTTCTAAGACTACAATTTCGAGGTGACATCATCAGCGAAATTGTGACACAACGCTTAAGAAATGCCATAAGAAGATCATTTAATGCCGCCAAGTTATGTTGTGTTTTCTACAGCCGGCCGATGATGACCACACGAACTAAAGACAGACTCCCTGACTTCTCCTCTTCTATGTGCATTTACCAGTTCAACTGCTCCTGTGGAGCTAGTTACATTGGACGTACAGTTAGGCAAGTCCGTCGTCGAATCGCCGAGCATCATCCTTCATGGCTAAGTAAGGGGGAAACCAGACTGACACGAAGCTCAATACTCTCTCATCTGATTGACACCGGCCACCGAGTTAACATTCATAATGCCTTTAAAGTTATTTATCACATTCCTTCTCACCTCACCCATCCTCTACGAGTCGTCTTTTACATACAGCAGAAGCCATAGGAATCCACCTACACAAGCCAAGTCTGTGTGTTCAGAAGAGATTCGTACAGCCTCTTTCTTTGCCTTGGCCATCTGTATAGCTCATTTATTACAACAAGACTCTTCATTTCATCCACCACACAATTCACTATAACTAATATTTTAATAGCTCCATTATTATTATTATTACAGACTTAACCATCTTTCTCTCCCCCTACTGTCTCTAATTACCGTCAACAATTTACCATTTTACGTAACAGTTCATTTTTGCTCTTTAGTTTTCATTATATAAAATATCAATTATGTAAGAACCTGTTCACAAAATCTTTCTACGATAATTAATCTTTGCTTTAGTTAACTGTCTTAATTACCTGATCAATTATCACCTTCTTGGTACTTTGAGATTGATAACCTTTCATTGAACAACTCTCACCACTAGATTGGTATGTAATTTTACGTTTGAAAATGCTATATTAGTGTAGAGCCATTGATGAGGAACTAATTGAAAAGAAATATTTCTTCGCTCACATTGTTTGTTTTACTAAATGTCTAAATGGAAATTTTTGCATTACTTTAAGAAATGTATACACAGGACTTGCGTTACAATGATATCTGAACGTTACATTTGGGTGTTTAGTCGTATAGTTTCTTTTTCTTGCTTAGTACTCCAGGAGGTAGGAATGATAAAAAGGGTTAGAAGTTGTTAGCACTCTTTGTCACATCATAACAGTTTAAAGATTTCATTAAAATGAAGACAGAACTCGTAAGTAATAACCTACATCAATCAAGTATATGAATTCATATGTCTTTTAGAAGTCAGTAGGCGTATTTACAACACCTTCGCAAGAAGGTCCCCCGTACCCCATTGTATGGATACGCCTAAAAATATAGACTTTTAATGCTTATCCAGTATTGTTACATCATATTCGGTGCTCTGTAGTACAGCATAACTCTACATGAAGTTCGTTACCCTCCAGTGACCGACCAGCAAGCCTAACTCAGTCCTACAGGATGTCATTTACGACCTGAATACCTCACTGGTAACATTTCTGATTGCAGTGCTGCGTCACGTGAGTTCGAATTTCAGGTAAGACATCAGTTCCACAGAGTCTACAGATACGCCTTGCTGATGGGTACCAGAAAGTACGAAACCTAGGTGAGGTGGGGCTTCTTGTCGATCGGTTGCACCCAGCTAACATGTTACTTTTCATTCTTGGGTTCTAATGTTTGCAGGATTCTCCATATTACATATGTTAAACCTGATTCAATGAACAGAGATTTATTCAGTGATCAGTCACTTTTTCTCTTCATCCAGCTGTATCAGTCTTCAGTAACACTGCTCTATCTTATCCCATTCTCTACTAATTTATTAGTACTTGTACACCAATGGTTGAAATTCTTTCTAGATTCCTTATCTTAATGAGGTCTATTATTTCAAAATTAGCGAAGGTTCTATTCTATGATAACCTGACCAACTCACATTCAGAAGTCGATGAAGTCGTGGGACACTTTAGTGTAGTATAGATTGAGTACAGGAACTCTGAAGGGGTCTGGAACTAGGATGAGATAGGTGTCCTTTGTTCTATAGTCTTCAATGTTTATTCCATTTGGAGGTTTGTAAGGATTCATTGATTAATTTCAGGTTAGTACTCATCATGGACTAGTATCAGCTAGAGAAACATTGAAAAACTGAGAGTGCTGGACAGCTGTTTCGTCCTGTGTGAGACTCTTCAGTAGTGCGTATCTACGACCCCATCAGGGGTAGAACCCAGAACTTTCGGGTTCTGAGGCCAGAAATTTATCATTAGCCCAATGGGTCGTGATTGACCGGACAGTTACCCAACGATGTCATTGGGTGGAGGTTGTGCTATGTTTTGAACTGACAGAAGCTGTAAATATGGACCATTGAGTCGATGATAACGTGCTGGTCGTGGAACCTGAAGGTCCCAGGTTCGTTCCTTACCAAGGTGGGTTCACGGGTGAGCACTATAGACAGTTTTATACTAGCAAGAAACAGTTGTCCATTACTTCCGGGGTTTCCGTTATTTCTCCAATCAATGTCAATCCATGATGAATACCAACGCAAATATTATTGCATAGCTGATACCACCGGATGGCTAGTCAAGTATTCTAGTGTTCACTACAAGTTAGACGAAGAAAAGCCAGCTAGATTTCATTAAACTTGATTACTGTCGGAAAAATTTGGATGTTGATTACACCAAAAACATTTCAAAGTAGTATTGTGAACTCATGTTATCTGTGGGATATGAGATTTACTGGGTTTACGTAGAAAGATGTAATTTTAAGGTAATAAAATTCACTGTGACTCTCATAAGTGGCCAAATGCCCCATCATAGTTATGTACCAGGACGTCAACGCTAAGAAGCTCTACAAGGTGCGGTTAACTGGTATGGGCGTTTGTGCTACTGGCCAGGAAAACTGGAGATGATATATGCACCGGTGATTACCGACCAGGGCTAGTTAAGTAATCAAGGTAAACCTCCTTGAGGCTCTGCTGGATATCAGCCAATACACCATCATAGTTGACTTAGTGGTTATAGAAGTTGACGAGATCCATATATACTAAATGAGTCAGCTGACCATCAGGATTCTTCCTCCATCGTCAAAAATAGTAAAATTCAAAGGAAAAAAAGAAACTATAACCGCATAACTTACTTCTTTTCAAGGCTACTTGCATGGATAATTCTACAAAATCCTTTGAACGTCGAATACATTTAGCCAGTTGTCTTTCTCTAACTCCACGTAAAGTAAGAACCTCTAACAACTCTCCTAGTTTATTTGTATCCGTAATCTGATACCATGTAGATTTGTTGGATTCATTTTTCACTCTTATCCATGATAAATCCTCTTTGATTGTCTGAATTCTTCTTAGTTGTAATTCATGATTAACATGTTCTGATACATCTGTATCAATTGTTAAAGAACTTCCTGATAACTGATCAATATTTTCTACATATTCTGATTGGTCTTTTTCATTCACTTCATTGATCAATTCATCAGGTATCATAGTTTTTAACTTCAATAAAGCTTCCATAAGAGGACGATTAAAATGTGTTGAATTTTGTGAGTTTAAAGTTTTAGCATATACTAATTCATCTGACAGAGCAGAACATAATAACATCTTACAATAATTCATTATAGAAATCCATGAATTACAATAAAGTTGATTATTCCCTATTGGTGGTATTATTCCTGTATGATTCATAAATAAAACTATACTTTTAGTCAATATTGTATCATTAATTTCATTAGTCAACTGTGGATCAAATTCATTGAAACATTTCTTTGAATTTATAGATTCATTTAAATATTGTCTTGAATATAAAGATTTATTTGAAAGATCCAATGGTTGTACTGAAGAAGACAATTTATTATCATCTATAGAGTTGATCATTTTATTGAACGAAAGATCATTAATGTGACTATCACATGCATCTTCTGAAGTTATTTCTGGATTACTTAAAGTATTGTTATTTGATAATAATTTCTCTTGTGATTGATCTTCGACAATCAATTGGCTATCATTATAATTAGTAAAGTTTGTATTGTCTAAATTAACATTATTTTGGTTAGACTCTGATAATTTACATTCAAGTTCTTCATGGCTGTTGTCAACATCTATTTTATCACAATTAGATACATTTCTTGATGAAACATAGTTATCTTCAATAGATAAATCATGCTTTCCAACAAAATCATTATTCAATTGAATGTTTAATTCTATAATTTCATCTTTTTGTAATAGATTATCACAACCTAAACTGATTGATTTATCTATTTCATTCAAAGAAATTGTAGTTGAATGAAGATTGATGTTATTTTTACAATCATTATTTAACATTTTTAATGTTTCCTCATTTACTTTTGTTTCACCTGAAAATTTGATAGAAACAACTTCTGAACTTTTTTTATCATATACTAATTCTTCGAATTCATTACTTAATGTTCCAGTCGTTGGAATATAGCTGAAACCCACAGAAACACTGTTAACATCATTAATAAATGAAGAAGTTTGAAGCTGTGATATCTTATTTTCACTTGATATTTCTGTATTTATAATAGAGTTCAATTCATTTGAGTTCTCAATCAATTTTTCATGAACTATAGTAGATTTGTCTATACTACTAATAGACTCTGAATAAATATTTATATTGTCAATTTCTTCATCAACTTTATTTCCTACATTATCATAACTCATCATTTCTGTATTATTTATGATTGTTTTAAGATTTTTATTCAACTGTTCAGTTTCACATAAAACATTCATAATGATTTATCAACTGATTGTAATTTCTCTATACTTATTTCAGATTTATTTATAGATTGAATAGTAGAAGTCTGTGTATATAAATGTGAATTAATTGTTGATGTAGTTAACTTAAGATGACGTTGTTGAGCAAGTGTACGATATGCTTCAATTACACCTACAATATAATCAGGATGAGAATCTGGAAGGCTATTTGATAAACTATCAATAGATGTTATATAGTTTTCACTTATTTTACTTCTTAATCGATTAGAACAATATTCATCTTTTGAATAAATATTGATGCATGGTTCAGATTCAATAAAAATACCCCCCATATGTTTTAAAACATAATAATTACGATAATATCTATCTTGACCAAGAAAAATACCAGATAGTTTAGAAGAACATTCATCAATTTCTCTTTGTTTTTGTTCTACTGCATTGTTTAATATTTTAATTTTAGCCTCAAGTTCATATGTTTTATGCATATTATCTTCATCCTCTGATAGTATGAATGAATCTGTTGAAGTAATACAACTATTTAATGGAATTACAGAAGAATTGACAGTTTTTACTAATGTAGGTGATGATGTAATCTCTTCACAAGTACTTGATCCCGCTACTGTGACTGAATTTGACTGAACCATCATAGTATCTATTACACATGTTGATTTCACTATAGTGTCTCGTTTATAGGATTTCTGGTTACCACTATATTGTCCTCCCTCTGTATTGAACTTGGTAATTGGTTTTGAATAACGTTTCAAAGGTATATAACTTTTTTCTAAATGAGTTATCTCGTCTTCATCTTTTATTCCATAAGCTTCTGATGATAATATATCACATTTACCTTCTCTTTCATATTCCATTGATGAAATTATAGAATTTGTACCAATAGTTGACTTTTGAGCAATTAATAAGCGTAACCTAAACACAAAAAGGGAATACCATTTCAGTCAAAATCTTGAGAAATAATTATTTTAGGTAAGAAAAAAAACTAGCGTATCATTTAAAACAAATAGTTATTAGTTATACAATTTGTCGAATAATTATTGAACTAAGAATATTTTTCATCCTAACAAACCACTATACGATTGAAAAGTGGCAATAACTGAAATATTTCAAGTTGTTATTCATCGAAGACTGACATCAGTTGGAGGAACAAAGGAAACCTGGGAGCACTGGACAGCCGTTTCGTCCGACTAGTATGGGACTCCTCAGCAGTGCGCACCCACGACCCTACTCTCCAGGGATCGAACCCGTGACCTTCATGTCCCGCTGCCAGCACGTTACCATTGGGCCATTGGGTCAAAACCCAATAGTCCATATTTCCAACTTCTGTTAGCTCACGATATAGCGCAAACCGCCACCCTATTTCATCGCTGAGTATCTGTCCTCACGGCCATTAGGCTTTGACTCCACCAGTCACGACTTGCGCTATATCGTGAGCTAACAGAAGTTGGAAATATGGAGCATTGGATTCTGACCCAGTGGCTAGCTCAATGGTAACGTGCTGGCCGCGGAACCTGAAGGTCGCGGGTCCGATCGCTGGTGGTGTGGTCGTGGGTGCGCACTGCTGAGGAGTCCCATACTAGTCGGACGAAACAGCTGTCCAGTGCTCCCAGGTTTCCTTTGTTCCTCCAACTGATGTCAGTCTTCGATGAATAACAACTTGAAATATTTTCAAATCTCCACAACCCCTCAAAATTTAATAACTGAAATGCTGGTTTATTCTAGTTAGTAACTCTTCAGCAGTACAGTTAGTTGAACTTAAATGACTTCAAGGTCGAAGTATTCATCCCTCATGATAACCATGATGTAGTTAAGTCATTCAGGTGGTATTGGATGACTGATATATATATATATATATATATATATATATATATATATATATATATATATCAATTCTAGTAAATTCGCAACGTAGTTCAACCCGTCCCCGTGTGCCACTGATGGCTTTATGTTGATCTCTCCTAACTATTAATAGAATTTTATATATCATCTTGAATGAGAACAGGAGATGAAATTCTTTGGGACTTTAAGTGACTTAGACAGCTGGGATATATATTACACAGGTCTAGTTATCGTCTGTCCCATCACACAATGTTGACTGAAGTAGGAATCAATTTGCTAGAAGGTAAGAGATAGGCAGAATGAAAAACAATATTGGTTCAAAAAGTCTCTGATATTCAGTTCGAATAGTGTAGGAAAATGTAAACTTTCCACTTGAGCCCCAAAATCAGGGGTTACAGACTCTAAATAATACTACTTCGAATCAATTTTACTGGTACAGACACATCTAAATATACTCATCATAATGTTGTTACTTATATTATCCTATCATTGATTTGATCAAATTCATGGAGTCTTGGTAGGAATAGAAATCGTGTTTATGTGCTACATTCCTGATTTATACTCTAATGGGAAGTAAAGAACTCGGGTTTTAGGAAACAAGTATAATGGTTGTACAAGGAAAAAGTCATACCTTCGTATTCTTGATTCAATAATCCATTTTTCTCTTTTCAGTAACAATTGTTGTTCAATAGCTTTATCAACTTCTATAGATATTAAACGACTTGAACAGATCAGTTCATCACAAATAAAAGCTAGTAAAGCAGCTTGTTGATCACCATTGAGATCAATAAACTGAACTGGTGGTTTCAACCAATCAGACATATCATCTTCATGACCATTTCGTCCAATAATAAATGCTCGAAGAATACCACTTATATTAGACTCATTAAATTCAGTTTCACTGAATTTCTGACCAAGTAATTGAGTAACCTATGTACACAATATGAGAGAACAAAATGAAAGAACTCAAAAAAAAAATGTCAATAGAATGGATAACAGTTATATCAAGACGAATCAATTTTTACTGAGGTAAGTCATGAAGAAAGAAGTTAAGTTTACCAGTTGTGTAACAAAGTGACTGAGTGGTTGGTCAGCTTAAGGTATGGTTTGAGTCCCATCAGTTCGATTCACTCAGTGATGGAATACTGCATGCAATAATATTAAAGCTACTACATCCGTCGTACAAGAAAGGGGTTATCCTGACTCCATGGCCTCCTTGATAACGCTATGGAGTTTGAAATGATCCTGGTAGGAAAAGCATCGCTCACTGCGAGGCAGATACATCCAGCTGACGAGTCCGGAATAAGAAGAAACACACGTCGTAAATTCCACTACTATCCACCATCCATCAATAATGGTTTGAAACCCCCTAGACAACTTGTGCTCGCTGGAGTTCTGCAATTATTCATAATCTCAATATGAATATTTGTATTCAGAAAGAATCTTTTCAGTGTCTATCCATCTGATTTATCGAACAATATACTTTAACCTGCTTTCAGCTTGAGTAGTTACATTAAAAAGAGTTGCCTAAAAGTCGTTAAAAGCCACGATGTTAAGATTATATCCACTTTAATGTCTAGCATTTATGTTATCATGAACTCGTTGAATCTGTCGATTCTGATAGGTCACGGAGGACCGGGGAGAAACGCCTAAATGCCGCATGTTGCTTTCAAAATCCTCAGAAATATCTTATTTTTGGTTCGGACACCACCTATTCTTCAGCCAGCTATTGATTTGAAGTACCACTCCACCTTAGTCACCTACGCTTTATTCAATATGATATCAGTTGTTGTTCGATACTTGTAAATTTTCTTTTCTATGCAGGGTGAATTGCTCGAGTGTCGGTGAGAACAACATTACTAACTTGGATGTAGGTATATTTAGCTGGCGAGGCCCCGAAAGAACAAAACGTGCATCCTGGATTCCACTGTGAGTCATCAAGATGACGGCAACATCATCAATACCCGGCAGTAGTGAGGTATCTGTATAGGAGCCCATCTGCCAATAGAGGTCGAGTGATTCCACCTAGTATAACAACAAGGAATTACAAGTATTAACAAACAATAACTGATACCTGTTGCGCAAGAGGTGGCTATCGTGCTTCTGTGGCCTAGTTGAAGTGAAAATTCTTTCACGTGAACATAATTGCTGATCAAGAAAGCAACTCAGGAAAAGAACTGTAGGTCAGAATTGGGATAACAGTGGTGTAATATTCACTAAGCTTTGAAATTCTGTCACAGATATTTGATCCCCAGGCTTGGTAACATCCTCCGCACTAACTTCATAAAGCGATAAAGAATATTCATATGTTACAGGAATGTTGTTTCCAAGGTGGTGGCTAGAAATGAAGTCCAGGAGGCGTATTTCATCCCATTTTGGACTCTTCAATTGAATGAACCTGTGTCCTAGTCAAAAGGCTAGCTAGTTGTTGGCGAACGGGTTTCTTGAACAGATGCCTTGATAATGCCTCAAGTTTCACTCTGATGATCAGACGAGTGCTCAAGTAGTGTTTCCGCTGACCTTGAGTGTTATCGAATTCTAAGTTGCGGAGGCGATTTTCATGACATCTTGATTTCTGTCGCTTTATATTTTATTGGGTCACATTTACAAACAATCTTTGTTAGTTCAGTTTGAGGGTGGAGAATATTTGTGACTCAGGTGGATAGTCTTAGTTGTATTGTGTTCTCTGAGCTGGGTTGTTTAGTCATGGAGCTTTCATCGTTTTTCTAGACGACATCACCATAAACTAACGAATTCCCTTCAAACACTATTGTGTAGACCGAGGGATACAACAACCAAAGAAGACAAACCGAACATCATTTATAAGATCAACTGCAATAACTGAAGTTAACGCTACATTGGACACAGTGGTCGCCGTCTTCGCCTTCGTCTACACGAACACCAATTGGCTACTAAACGTCACGACATTTAGTCACTCATTTCAATGCAAGTGGGTAACAACTATGGACATGAATTCAATTTTGACAATGTAGAAATTCTGGAGGGAGAGAAGAAACACAAAGAATATCAGAGAATTCCTAGATGCTTAGCATTCAGATTAGCTAGTCAGTGAGTCAGCAATCAATAGATGTATAGACAGAGACCCAATCTATCAACCAATGGGAAAGATGATAAACAACAGAGAGGTCAGAGGCCAAGCAAAGTAACAGCTAACAGGAAAATCTATATAGTCAATGACAATAACCAAAGGAAACATCCAGTCACAGACCACTTCGTCAAGGCAAGCTACTAAATCACTCATGGAGAGATATTAACAGCTCACTTCATACTGAAGTTAGTGTTGATGATGTCGTCTAGCAAGACAATGAAAGCCCCACGATTAAACAATCCACCTCAGAGAATACAATATGACCAAGATCAGTTTGGGGGGTTTGTGGGGATTTAGGGATTTTTGTAGTTGGTATTCATTATGGACTGACATTATTTAGAAGAACACTGGAAACCTGGGCGCACTCAACAGCTGTTTCGTCCTAGAATGGAGGTCCTCGACAATGCACCCCCCAAGACGCCTCCAGAAATCGAACTCAGGACCTTCGGGCCCCTTGGCTAGCAGGTTTTCATGGGTCTCTGGCGGCGTCATACATGGGAACTGCTGAAAACTCGCTTACTTGGATGAAACAGCTGTACAGTGCTCCCACGTTTCCAATCTTCCTCTAACTAATATCAGTCCATGATGTATACAAAGTTTAAATCTTTGTTAGGCTGAACATTTTGCTACTGGTTGGATGTCATACTGTACTTCACTATTTATCTGCTTAGCCATCACTTACTTAAATCTTGGATGGCTATTTTCTTCTCAAGTAGATATCAAAGCTTAGAAAGCACTGAAATATTTTAAAAATACGCTTTCAAAGACAGTTATCAGAGTGTTACTCATATCTTTCCATAATTGAATAGTTTACAGATGACTTGATTGGTGGTTTTGAAAGCACGCAGAATATTTTGTTCAATGTATTTTGAATGGAGTTCCCGAGAAACACTCTGCCATATTATAGTTTTACTGGAAATTATTTAACATAAGACAGTTGATACTGCCTGACTAGATTTTTATTTGGCTTCAGTCACAAAGGCTTACTCTGGACTGTTGAGTAAATTCGTGACGCCTTACTTTCTTTTGATCGCACTAACGGTATCTACTCAGTCAGGACTTTTCATCCCATTCTGAAACATCTTGAATTGGAGAGATGAGTGAGGTAGACTTGTTTTCGTACTGGATGATGATTGAAAATCCAGATCAACCTATGGCCAGGCATTACTGCATAACGTCCGAGTCGCCACACCTCACGTCAGTTCATCAAGTAAAAAGGTAGTGAGGTGAAGGATGAAGATGAATGAATGCAGTCAACAGAAGTATAAAGTACGAGAAGAAAGGAAAGAGGAGTGACAAAATGGTGAGATTCAAGATAGCGTGTTAAGATGAGGATAATGTGTGTATACATCTGCACCAATGACATCGGTTCTCAGCCATGTGATCACCTAGGGTCTCCAACCACTGGTTCCTCTTGTCCCACCAACCCCAACCACCTAGTCTGCATCGCCCCACATGGCTTAAACCAACAGTCAGAGACTTCATACATTGGTGCCATATTTTAGTCTGTCCACCTCTAGCCTTTTTCCAGCCTGAACCAACTTCGGCCAATATTGTGTGATGAGGCAATCGGTGACTAGACATGATTGAAGGGGAAAAGACAGTTGAGTGGAGAAAAATCTCCTTCATTTTAAGAAGCTGTTTATCTATGTAATGTCAGATTTTAACCCATCTCCCAAGATCTGTAAAACTCTCCGGTCAACTGTTGACAGGGATTCTTATAAATTCACATCTATAATTACGACGGAAATATATGTCCATCAATGGATAATGGACCAAGACAAAGTCATCAAAAAATTGTTTTTTAGGATTACAAGATGATGCCTGAAAAATAAATACAAGGTCTATTTTAGAATACATTAAAAACTGTGCGTAGAATTACAAGTTAATTCCACAATAATCTATGAAGTAATAGAACAGGTAAGAAAAGTGGTGCAAGTATGTGGAGATTCACAACTACAGAGTTAAGAAAGGAGATGAAAATGGTAATGTTGACGAATAAAATGAAGGAAGTCCTAAGAAGATTGTGAACAAGGTAAGACTAGAGGTTGGATGCATCACTTTGAACGCAGAGATAAGGCTTTAACAGATGAATTACGGTGAACCCTAACTGAATGTCTATAATATGTCGAATTTTTTCTTCTCAGTAGGAAATAAGTGTTTAGGAGAAGCTTCTAACCAGTACGAAAGCCTAAGATTCTTAAGGACCTTAGCTTCGAAAGTGGACAAGATTTATGTTAAATGTTTCAGTCCTATGATTCTTGTTTAATATATGGTTGTATTATAGAGAATGGCTGATCTTTCTTGATCCCCTCATATCTTACTGATTTCCACGAAAATCTCTCACTTAATCTTTCACGTCTGGCATAAGTGAGTCTCTACTCTTACGTTTCATTAGTTCCGTGTTTTGCCTGTACTTACTTATTGTTTCCCCTTATTCTTTCGTAGAAGCCTGAGAAAATGCTACGCTACATTGTGTAAGATTTTGAAGGCTGTTAGTAGAGCGAGTGGTCCATCACTAACCCTGCTATTGAAGGCGGTTGTGGATAAGCATCTTAACTCTTTTAGAGCACTGGCTAGAAATATTTCGTCTGATGACAAGCATCCTCTGTATCTATATCTTTCTGCATGGCTATCACCAGGAAGGCAAGATATAAATACATTAAACGTTATGTACGCACAACTACAGACAAAAGATCAACCATACCATCTAATTTAGCTTGTGTATTGTATGAAGAAAGTCATGTTACATAAAGTCGTATGAATCAACTTGGCAAGAGCGAATAGTTATCATGATCCAGGAGTCATTAAACATTCAACAATCCTGTTATTTCAAGTTGTTGTTCATCGAAGACTGACATCAGTTGGAGGAACAAAGGAAACCTGGGAGCACTGGACAGCTGTTTCGTCCTGACCCAGTGGCTCAATGGTAACGCGCTGGCCAAGGAACCTGAAGGTCGCGGGTCCGATCCCTGCTGGTGGGGTCGTGGGTGCGCACTGCTGAGGAGTCCCATACTAGGACAAAACGGCTGTCCAGTGCTCCCAGGTTTCCTTTGTTCCTCCAACTGATGTCAGTCTTCGATGAATAACAACTTGAAATATTTCCAAATCTCCACAACCCCCTCAAAATCCTGTTATTCTTTAGTCTGTATTGTTAAACAGCATCATTTTTAATGCATGTTTGAAAAATGTTGTACAACAGATAAACTTATGCATATAACAGGCTGAGTATTCGGTACTGTGAACATAAATATAGTTTAGAATAAAATAAATATATGATTATTATTATTATTATCATACTTAGTATGCTAAGCACTTTAGTATTGATTCGACTGCTAACCAACTCAGTATTTTCACATACAAACTCAATGAGAATATGAACTTACTAATCGTGAACTTGCTATCCCAGGATCTTCAGTAGCTAGTCGAAGTAGTTCAATTAACAAATGAATTAAAATTTGTTGACATTCAGAATCTCGATCAATAAATGCAGACTGAAATTCTCTGAGATTTGGAATTGTTTCTGAATCTATAATAATTAGATATAGAGAAAAGAAAGAGGATTACTTAAAATATTAGCTATTGGTCACATATGTAATGCTGATTACAATTTGAGCTGACTGCCTGCAGCATTTAACAGTCATCAGAAGATTAAACTTGTATGAAAGAACAAATTATTTCAAACATATATTCTTTATGATTGGTTTGAAGTGGATGCCGTTTACACTATCACAGGTGGATAGTATTTTGCAGTTAAAAGTTATACATATTTACTTTGAAGACCCATCTTTAAAAAGGATGCATTTATTCAGTTCATAAAGTCAAGTGTTAATGAGACCAATATCATGCGATCGAAAATGCAACTTCATATGCCATTCTGCTTGTAGACAATTCTATCTAATGTGACCAAGCAAGCACTAGTGTCATGACATATCATTACCAAATCTTTGTTGCATCTGATTGAGAATAATTATGTACTTAAGGTTAGGATAATTTGGTTGGTTGTGGCTAGCAGAAGAATCCAGGATGCGTGTTTCGCCCTATTTCGGACTCGTCAACTGAACACACCTGCACCTCAGTGATCTTGTTCTCACTGAAACTCGAACCCCATACTCATCGCTTCAAACGCTAAGGCGTTATCCACTATGGCATGGAGGAACGATGGCAACTTCTTCTACAACGGGTAGTAGTTGTCACTATTTATTGACATACTTTTTATTCTCCGTTGTTTGTTGTGTCGGAACGAATTGTTGGACCTCTATTGGCATATGGGCTCCTATGCGGATGCCTCGATATTGCTTGAATGTTGATTATGATAATTTGGTTGGTTGTGGCTAGCAGAAGAATCCAGCTGACGAGTCACAAATAGAACCAAACGCGCGGCCTGGATTCTTCTGCTAGCCACAACCAACCAAATTACCTTAATTAGCGTCGAGGCAATATCAAGGCATTCGCATAGGAGCCCATATGCCAATAGAGGTCGAACAATTCGATCCGACACAACAAACAACGGAGAATAACAAGTATATCAATAAATAGTAATAAGGTTAGGATAATTAAAATTCAAAGTCCATATACTCATCAAAGCATTCGGAACAGGTGAAAGATGAAGTCACAACCAACTGTATTCACCAATTCATTCAAATGTAAGTGAGATCACACATACATAGTGAGGAATCACCAATCATTCGAAATAAGGTTACAGAAAATATTCCACTAAACCACCTTCGGAAACAAATGTCTGATCACCTCAACAGCTAAGCATATTATTTAAGAGAAGCATAAAATGGATGTTTAAATGTTTTTTAAGTCCATCTTTGTAATTTGTTAAGGCATTGACCATTGAGAGGTTAAAGCTAAATTTGCGCGTTTACAAATTTGACTTTGAACTCAAGGTTACCGTTCTATTGATTTGTTGTTATTATTATCTTATTAATCTTCATTGTTATTTTGACCTTCAATATAATCTCCTCATCTGACTGATAATTATTTTTGATCTAATCGATATCAAACAACCCAAAAGATTGATTTTTGTAATTAAGTCGCCTATTGACTATAGTTTTAACATCTTGAGTAGAAATAATCGGGGGTTCAATTTGCTCAAAACATCTAAATGACTACTGCAACTGGTCAATTTCCCAAGAAACACACACTGAACTCGTATATAGTACATCTTATCAGTTAAATGTAGCCAGCTTTTAACAAAAAACAAGATCTCGTCGTTGATTAGATCGAATCGATCGGTGTCTATTAGCATATGGGCTCTGGTGAGGATGGCTTGATATTGTTAGTGTTTCCATTATACATATTAATGATAGATAGTGGCTAACAAGAAAATCCAGGAGACTCGTTTCCTCTCATTTTGAACTCTTCGGCTGGATTTGTCGCCTCTAAGTGAGTGATGTTTTCTAACCAATACTCGAACACGAGATCGACCATTAAACATATGAGAGCGTTACTCAGTAGGCCATTTCTCAAACAAAACGAAACGAGCGTCGTGGATTCGTCTGCTAACCACAATCCATTAAAAATGAAAATACAGGCAATATCGAGGCATCCGCTCACCAGCCCATATGACAATAGAGACCACTGAATTCGATCCAATCAACAATGGAATAATACACTTAACGACATAAAAACTGTACCTGTCACACAATAAGTGGCTATAGTAACTCAGTGGTCTAGTGGATAACGTTGTGGTAATTGAAGCAATCCATCGCGATCTCGAGTCTTAGTGGGAACAACATCGCTAACACGGAACTAATCGAAGAGGTTGAAAAAAAGTAATTTATAAATGACGAATGATCTCTATAAACCCATCAAACCACTGGTTTCACAATTCCACTGCCTTACGGATTACTAAAAATTCCGAAGTACCTGTACCCCTTCGTCTGTTTTTAGACATATTTGGATTTCGAATAAGGTGTATTTGTAAGGCAGGATATGTTCCAACATATTGGATCTCCTTACCATCCAACTGTGAAATGGCTAGCCGAAATCGTAGAGCCTGTAAGAAGACGAATCGTCGTCCACTCTCTACGTGGTACTTTTCAATTTGTGGATTGCATAAGAGACGTGAACGTATTTCATAAGCGTATGAAATCACTTAATCTCTAGTCACTTTTCACCAATGTTCTACTAACTGAAACTATCTCCTTCTTATGCAGATGCGTAGAAGATAAAAAAATGACTGTTGGGGTATCCTCACTCTATCTTAAGGAATTGTCATTTAGATGTACATTTAACGAAGTGATTTATAGACAGAAAGATAGAATTGTAAATGGGATCTCCACTTGGTCACCTACTAGCAGAATGGTTTATGAGCAGTTTGGGGGACGGATCTTTGGAGTCAACGACTGAAGGTTTTCATCTGTACAAAAGGTAGATGGATGACACTTTTGTCACATATGATAATCAGTGCGATTTGAATAACAGTCCACAAACATTCACTAACTGCCATCAGCAATTAGATTCACCCTTGAAATCAGAAATGGATTGAAAATCCACCATCCTAATGTAGAGTAGATAAGGACAGCATTATCCTGGAGAGACTGAAGGATGCACTGGATTCAAAACTACGACCGGAACAGGCTGGCTTCAGGAAATATAAATCATGTGCGGACCAAATGGCAATGCTTCGCATCACCATAGAACAGAGTGTGGAATGGCAGTCAACTCTCTACCTCAACTTCATTGACTTTGAAAAGGCATTCTACAGCGTCGACCGAGAAGTAATTTGGCAGCTGCTTCAACACTACGGAATACCACAAACCTTTATCAGTTTCATTCAACAACTATATGAAGATGCCACATGCCAAGTAATTCACAATGGGGAGCTCAGTGATGTCTTTGAAGTGAAGACAGGAGTGAAACAAGGCTGTCTATTATCACCCATGATATACCTGATTGTGGTCGACTGGATCATGCAAGAAGCTGTAAGGAGCGAGAATAGGGAGGTACGCTGGACCGGGACAAAGAACCTTGAACACTTGGATTTCGCCGATGATTTGTGTCTAATGTCACACAAACTTGAAGATCTACAGGCGAAAACTAACAAGTTGACAGAAGATGCAGGGCAGCGAAGACGGGCTACCTTGAGGTGAATGTAGAGAAGACAGAGGTGATGAAGATACCCAACCAACAACATCAACACCAACAACAACAATAAGCTCCAACCACCATCAACGGGAGCAACTTAAAGGAAGTAGCCTCCTTCACCTACACCTACTACACCAACTACAGCTGGCACAGACGAGGACGTCAAAGCAGCCGTGATCGGAAAAGCAAGACAAGCGTTGATTAACCTGAAACCAGTGTAGAGATCTTCTGCACTCAGCATAAAGAACAAGATCTGGATTCTCAACACCAAGTCAGTTAAGTCAGTGCTTTTATATGGCTCAGAGACTTGGCGCGTTACGAAAAGCATTTCCAGTAAACTTCAGACATTCATCAACAACTACCTACGCTCGTTACTGAAGACTAGATGGCCAGAGAGAATAAGCAACAAGGAACTCACTGTGGCAACCAACCAACCAACCAAGAACCTATCACTCAACAAATGTTCAGAAGAAAGTGGAAATGGATTGGGCATATACTGAGAAGGGGGACTGGGGATATCACGTGCCCGATCGTCGAGTGGAACACAGATGGGAAACGACGAGTTGGGCGTCCGAGATGAGGGTGACGTGTTGAAGATCGTTTGAGGAGGAAATGAGAGCTTGTGGGCTGTCGTGGAACCAGGTTCAAAAGTTTGCAGAGAAGAGAGTGGAATGGAAGCTGTTCTCGCTGAAATATTTGTTCCTCGTTCATGTTCTGATGGGAGTAGAATTTAGGCACGGTGATAGATTGTAATTCCATTTTTAGTCTGTTTATTTGAAATGTCACATAGTAGAACAGTATTACTTACTAGATAACATCCCGAACATAATTTATTGTCAGTGTTCTTATATCATATTATATCATAACTTAGAAACAGCTCATATAGCTTTGTATCTCTCTCCTTCTTTATGATGACAAGGGTAGTAGAATTTTCTGTATATCTGAGACAGATGAAGAATCCTTCCTAATGCATGTAATCGGTGTTGATTCAATAAACAAAGATTCGGTTATCAATCTCTCGCTCTATTCCACCCTACTATCTGGTTGTGTATAACTGCATAGTTTTTTTTTATAATTTCTTTTCTTATTAGGATCTACAAATCATGATTTACCTAGGTTTTTAAGCTGTGTTATTCTAATCGACCCTGGTCGACTAATTTGACGTACGTACTTGACCTCATAATCATTGCAAAGGATTTGGTAAACTAAATTATTATGCCTAATTTGACCAGTAGGACCTTTCAACATACAAAGTTTGTTTCTTAGTGAGATTGTTGGTTCAGGTGCAACTTTAATGCAACTTTTATTGAGAATTCTCCTTCCTTTTATGCTGACACAGCACACAGTATTATCACCAATAACACCTGTTTAAGTACTACTACTCACACTACGACTACTACTACTCCTACCACCACTACTACTACTGCTACT